TTATCTGAACTGAAAAAATTATCGTTCACTTCGAAAGCGAAAGAGGGTGCGTCGTTTCACTGACTCCTTACATTTGCAAAATGTTTCGAACTCTACCGCGCTTATAGGGCTATTTTTGAACATTATTCGTTACAGCCAAAAAGAAAGAAATCATGGAGATTCAAGATCGGGGGAGTAAGTAGGCCATTCCATGACGTTAGGGTAACCGTTTGGACAAACCAGCGCGATCGTATTATCGTCAGATTGCTGATAAATTGCTTTGAAAACCTTTCGTGCTCTGTGTGGAATCGCATCTTACATAACCGAATAGCAATTTGCAATTTCTAAAAAGAACATCCCTTTTAACGTGATTACCAGAATTTTAAAACACTATAGTTTTTAAAATTGATAGAAATGTTTCGAGTCATTTTTTTGGGGGTCGTCTTCAAAAAATAACTACATTGATATCTAAAAATATAGGAGTACAATTGCACGATAGCACAATCACGACTATATTGAATAAAAATCATCTTAATTTATATAGCGGTACAGTGAGTAATTATAATCCTTTTCCACTAAATAAAAATTTTGCCCATGATGGCTACGAATAAATTGAATAGGCGAAACAATTAGAATTAATTATTATACTTGAAAGGTACGAGTGTTAAACTTCATAACTTATAAGTAGGTTCTTAAGATTAGATTAAACGCACTTACAGTTAAAACTACTTATCTATACAGGGTGTTCGGCCACCCCTAGGAAAAATTTTAATGGAAGATTCTAGAAGCCAAAATAAGACGAAAATCAAGAATATCAATATCTTGACTGAGGTTTCGTTAAAAAGTTATTAACAAAATTAAATTAAAAAATTTCAAATCATTCTGAAAAAATTATTTTTGGTTGTGGAGGTCAGTTAGAATCATTTTTGATAAATACACGTACCCACAAAATCCTACTCAGTTTCGAAAAAAGTTCAAATAGGTGTTGAAAGTTTTGGGTGAAAAAAAAAGAATTTCGAATCGTCTTGGAAAAATTATTTTTAGTTGCAGAGGTCAATTACAAGCATTTTTGGCCAATACACAAACCCCTGGAATACTGCGCATTTTCGAGAAAAAAATTCAGTACGGGTGGAATAATTCCCTGGGAAAAATTTTAATAAAAGATTCTAGAGGCCAAAATACAACGAAAATTAAGGATACTAATTTGTTGATTGAGGCTTCGTAAAAAAGTTATAGAAACAATTCAAAACAAAAGTTATAAAAACAGTATATTTTCGGTAAAGAATTTTTTTCTCGAAAGTATGTAGGATTTCGGGGGTATGTGTATTGACCAAAAATAATTGTAATTGACCCCCGCAACGAAAAATAATTTTCACAGAACGATTTGAAATTTTTTAATTTTGTCGAAAATTTTAGGCACCCCTGTCGATTTTTGTTAAAAATTCGTTTTTTATTTTTAATTCATTTGGTTGACGCTGTACAGAAAAGTTGTTTAATACTTTTTTGTAGGTACCCAGGAACTCAACTTCAGAAAAAAGTTTCATTCCAATATATTCACTATTGTAAGAGTTATAGCTATTTGAAAATTAGACCATTTTTATGGGGTTTTTCTTATTTTGCGGGGTCAAGGATCAACTTTTCGAATATTTTTGGAATTTCTGCATACTCTTCACTAAAATACACGTCGATTGCATTTTGAAACATTAAAATCGTCCAATCCGTTCAGGAGTTATGATATTTTAAATATTTGCATGTAATTTCGGGCAAACATTTCTGGCCAGAAATTATATTTTCGGTAAGGAATTTTTTTCTCAAAACCGCGTAAGATTTCGAAGGTATGTCTATTCACCAAAAATGATTGTAATTGACCCCCACAACTAAAAATAATTTTTTTAGAACGATTTGAAATTTTTTTTCGCCGAAAAAACACCTACTCGAATTTTTTTCTCGAAAGTGAATAGGATTTCGGGGGTATATCTATTGACCAAAAATGATTGTAATTGAACCCCGCAACTAAAAATAATTTTTCCGTGGACGATTTGAAATTTTTTAATAACTTTTTAACGAAGCCTCAATCAACAAATTAGTATCCTTGATTTCCGTCTTATTTTGACCTCTGAAATCTCCCATTAAAATATTTCCCAGGGCTGGCCGAACACCCTGTATAGTGATGGAATCTTTAACTGGTTATCGTTATCCGTTAAAGTGGCGAACTCTTTGATGCGTTCGAACTTAGTAACAACAGTTTAAGAATGTAGAGAAATATTTACAAAATATTTACAAAATAGTCAGTCCTGATAATTAAGTAAAAATTACGTAAGCTCTTTGAAACGAAACGTTTAAGAATAGCTGCGTTACAGAACGTTTGAGAATTTATAGAAGGTTAGAAATCTGTCCCGTTTACTGCATTCCTAAAAATTCGAATCGTCGTTAATTTTGATAATTTTAGGTCAAGGATCTTCGACTGATAAACGGTTTGCTTGCTTCGTATCCATTTTGTATTGGAATCTATTTTTTATTTTTTAGCTCCTCATTGACAGAGATAAAAGAATGAAGTCACTTCTTAAGAAATCATATGTAGTAATATACATTTCAGTTTCGGAGATAAGAATAGTTCGCCGCTTCTAGACCCGTTTACCAACTTGCAAAGTGAATAATTTCTGGCCTCTAGATAGTCGTTGAACATTCATGGTTAAAGTTTGTGCAAGAAAAGCGAAGTCACTTTCAGTTTTGAGGCGGATTAGAAGTTGTCGAGCGTATGCAAGTAGTTTATACATCGTTCAACGATCTAAGGATTCTTTTTCCTTTAAAGCAATATCCTTTCAAAATAATATGACAAATATTAATTATATCCAGAACGATGTAGACAAAACGAAAACAACGTTGTGCCACCGAATCTTGGATATCCCTACAAATGTTTCTTTTTTTCACGAAAGTGAATCACTTTACAAGTCACTTTACCACTTTCATTTTTTTTTGTTCATATTTATATTCTGTATATTTTTTCGACTATTTTTAATTATCTATCACTTTTTTTTATCTTGGAGCACTATTTACAGGGTATGCTTCCGTGAATTCTCACGCAAAATAAAGTCGTTCGTGATGTGTTCCGCGTTCTGGCCATGTTTCTTTGGTCTCTTATCTAATCGTCGCACCAAAAAGAATGAAAATGCTAGCAGAGCAGCTCATGTGACCAGGGTCTTATGTCAAGGAGAACATCTGTGACATTTGTCGAAACGTGCATAGTGGAATCTTGGTTGAATTCTCAATGGTATCAGCGAACATTGATAACCGAGATTTGGTTCAACGTAAATCACGGTATCCGTGAATTTCGGTGATTTGTGCAGCCAACGGTTAAGTTCCAATTAGTATTCGATAGAAATAATTGAAAATTGTGGATGAATGCCAGAAATATTCGAAGGCTTTTAATATTTCTAATGGTAAAGCGTTTGTTACGGTCGAGTAAACACCGTTTGACGATAAATCCTTGCACTTTTCCCGAATCGAAAGTTTCTCGAGCGCCTGGTTTCGGAGATAAAGATCCCTATCTCGAAAAACCAGTTTTCACGGAAGTCTGACTGCCTAACCGATCGATTCGTAACGGGGATAACAAATTCAGAGATCAAAGAAACTTTGAGATAAAGTTGTATTAGCTTCCGCGATGACTTTGAAATTTATCAGGCGAAAGCTCCGTGGATCAAGCTTCAGCCATTTATAATAGAGATTCGTCCAACTTCCGGGTACTATCCTAGATAAATATGTTTGCAAGCCTGCGTGTTTACCTGAAGGTAAGCATTTTCAAAGGAACGGATGCTGCCCCATATAATTCTACAACCATAAAACATAATTCCATTTTTGGTTCGCCATGTTTATTGCAAAATGTTTCGTCTTATTATTGAAGCTTTTACGTTTATCGAACGAGCAACGATGAATCAGGATTTTCCGTCTGTTCGCGGATGAGGTCGGCTAGCGAAAGACTACTAAATACTTATGAATTATTAATAAATGTCACCGTTCGATTATTCGAGACTGGCCTACAGTGGGTATGACGTATGGGCATTTGAATTTGTTCCAGACAGAAATTGACATCGCCCAAGTGGAATCGGTTCAAAGGAATCAGGCTGAGATGGAAGGACAAGATCAGACTGAACAACGTGATTTGGAGGTGCTGGCACATGCAATGTAAGAAAACGCTCGCGAGAAATACGATCCGCGGATCGAGACGTGCCTCTTCGAAACAACTATAGAAAAAAAGGAACAAAGTTACCTCATCGATCGCAGAAAATCTTGGTTATTTTATCAAGTGTTTTGCAATGAACGAAGACCACGATTCTATAATTGTTTTGAACGGCGTAGAGAACATCAGAAAAACCGGTACGAAACAACCGGAAATGGTGGACGGCGCGCGAAACGTGTCGGATGGCTAATTTTGCTGACCTTTAACAATCGTTCCGCACGATAACCCGCAACGTCGCGCTGATAACGTCGCTGGGTCTTTTTATTCTCGCGTACACGAGAGTTTCTGTATCCTCGGATGAGACGCCATGGTCAACAGTCGCGGTTCGAGGGTCACGTCGCTGATCGACGGACGCAATTAGGAGTGGAAGTTTGTTCTTCTTTTGAAAAAGTCGATTGCTTCAGCCTGAATTATACATACGTTACTTTTGTTATTGTTACAAAATAGAGACGAACGATATTAACGGTTCGGAGTCCGGGTGTATCAGTTCGAGTCGCGTCGGAGCTCGCTTTGTTCGCCGTGTGTAACAAAAGGAATCGTTTGTTGTGAAGGTTTGAATCAAATATTTCCCTCGAAACGTCGTCGTCGCGGAAACAAGACAGACGATATTAATATTTCGAGACTGGACGCGTTAGGTCGCGTCGCGGCGTTTCGACTTACGAGCATGTCGGTTCAAAGTTCACATCGATCGACAGACATAACAAAGAAGCCACCTTTGCAAAGGTGACTAGTTCAATTTGATTTAAATGTTACTTTATTATTGCTGAATTTTCTGAACGAACGCGTAAAAATTCGAGTCAGTCGTTTTTCTAATTAGTAAAAAAGTCGATTTTTCGTTCGAACGAACCACGAGATGCTTTCGTGCTTTAAGTTGGGCTATAACGCTTCGAGTGTGGTAAAAGAAGAGGTCGGTTTTGTAAAGGTGACCGGCACAGTTTGAATTAAACATTACCTTTAAAGTATCGGTGCAGTAAAGCCACACGACATTAGTGCTTCGAATCTATTTCGGAGCTTGCATCGATTAACGGACGTAACGAAACGAAAAATCGATTATACAAAGGTGACTTGAATTAAATATTAAACAAACCGATATTAACGCCTGGACTGTAACGTCGGTCCAAAGCTGCATAGTGACAAAATTAATATTTTCCCCAGTTTCTTTGGTCCGAAGTTCGCGTCGATCAAAATAAAATTTCTGTCGATTCTAATCGGCCCAAGATCGAGAACAGACGTAAGCAAAGGGACTCGACGAATAGATATCGCCTATCTATTATCGTCACAATACGTAGATATCAACAATAGTAGAGCGCGATATTCTTCAACGATCGAAGAGAAATTCGTAAGAGTCCCAGTTGCCTCGATCCTTCGTTCCTATTTTTAAGCGCTTATATTTAGTGTATCGAGCGCAGAAGTTTCTCTAGTAACGTGTGATAAATTCGTGATTACGAAACGATCCGATATCGTGGCCGTTTCGCAACCGTGGGAAATTCTTTCGAAACATCGAACGCCTCGCTCTCGCTGTTCGCGTTCTTTCGTGTATCTTGATCGTGATAAAGTCGACGATCTTTTTTGGGCTCGCGCGTAATTTTCTAACGATTATCACCGTTCGGGGAAATGACGGATACGCGCACCTGCCGTCCGAGAACGGCAGCCCTGCCTTTTTCCCGTCGAAAAACAAAGGCGGCGGCGATAAAGTCCCGTAATCTAAAGCCAAATTAAATTGATTCAAGATATCCGTGCGCGAAAATAAGACGATACGAGAAAGATACTACGCTCAACTTCAGCGTTCCGCGAGATAAAGAAAATATCTTGCACGTGACACGGCAGTGACAAAGAATCCCCGCCAGAGCATCGCTGGCTCGCGGTTACTTCGCGATTTTCTTCCATCAAACTATCAGGGATCTCAGTTTCGCGAACACCGTTGCGACTCGTTATACGAAACCACCGATCACCCGGTTTAAATTGCCCTCGTCGAATCGCGTCCATCTTCGTTCGATCAACTCGACAACTTCGAATCCGTCTCGATCGTCTCGCGCGCTTCGTTTGCCCCTGCGATTGGCACGAGTCGTTCGATTCGGATCAGTGCACCACGGGAGAAAATCGAGGTAAAACTAGAGAGACAACGCCTGATCGTCGAAAACGCTTCACGGGTTCGTAATTATGCCCAACGAACGAGGAACACTCGCGAGTATTTTCGCCGGAAGATCAACGAAGCGACAGACACTTGGTCGAAGATGTTCGCCTGGTTTGTTTTCGCAGAGAATAGTGCGCTGGAAAACCAGGATTTACTAAACTGAACGTCGTTCGTAGACGATAGAAATTTTGAAAGAAGCGCGTGTCTTCTGCTTTTAAATAAAACGATTTGGAATTGTGCAACAGCGTTCACTGACATTTCGATCACAACGTTGCCAACCGGTGTTATTTTTGCAGTCTTGTCGCGACCGCGAACTTTCGATCGCGTAAATCGCTAGGAGCACAGAGAATCGGTAGACGTGGCCGACGAGAGATGTTGTTCCTAGCCCGATTGTGTAACGCGCAATGTCTCGTTCATTGCTTAACAACGTCTTTAGCGTTTTAGACGCCGTTACGTAAAAATCGGAGCAAGAAAAAGAATCGACGGCGTGTAGTTTTCCTCGCGCGTACTCGAGCAAAAGAGTTCCTCGTTCGTTGACACGGAAACGAATCGCGGTGCCAGAACATTTAATGAATCGCTGCCATTGCCAAACGGCTGTGCAAACGATTTCAATATTGTTCGTTGATCGATTAACGTCGATTAGTTCCGTTTATCGAATTTGTATATTTGCCGAGCGCGAATCATAATGGTTCATCGTTTGAATAGCGTTGTCGAGAGATAACACGAGAATATTGCAAAATTTAAATCTATAGTAATTACGAATACGGAAGCGATTAAAGGCGAATACATGGAATGCACTTTGAGGCTTTCGATCGAGTTTTGTTGTTTTCTTAAAGTCACAACGCCTCGATTTTCTCTGAAAAGGTGTACCAATATAGGCGTTCATCGGCTTGCAAACCCGTAGCTACGGTAAATTCGAGGCGTCGAACGAAGGGCACACGGCGTCGACGTCCACAGGAAGTTGGTTCGTTCGTCGAAAGCGGAAGTCTCTACCTATTGTCGGCCATTTTTGCGACTATTTCGCGACTACGCTACAAAATGCGTCGCCGTAAGGTCGGCATCGGGACGTCCGCGTCTCTGTTCCAGCACACCGACCACATCGAACGTAGTCTTAGGTTAAAAGCAAGCTAACTATTCCGGAGTATCGCGACGTGTTGCGGTTCGATTGTCTGGAATACATACACGGGGGTTCGTATGCAATCTTCTTTGTTAGTTTAAGGGGCTATTCCATTGTAACACGTATTTTTTTTACATTTACGATACGTGCAGAAATCGTTGATAGCTTTATACAGTAGAATACTCCCTTTAAGGCAGCGTTTTCCAAACTTTTAAACCCATGGAACACTTATCGTTTCGAGAAATGCAGCCACCGAGATTCTTTCCATCAAAGTCAATTGTGCTGGTCGTTTAAATATTTATTTCGTATATAATGTCATCGAATGTACATCGAAATAAAACAGTAAGAACTAAATTATCTTTTGTTGTTTTTATTTTATTTTATTATACAATTGCAGTCGTTCTTGCAAACCAAAGAAAGATTACGCCTCTAACTCGTGATATAAACAAACAATACATTTCTATGCTATTCAGTCTATAAAAAATGCGCCAATATATTTGAAATACATCGGTAACTCGAGATAAAAAATAAAGATACCGCTTTACACTGCAAATACGCAAAATGAATTATTATCAACTCCAACTTGTCACGGTTCACTGGTGTTCTATGAAATGAAGTTTTGGAAACGCTGGTTTAAGGAATAGTGGCGTATTAATCGGTCGAACAAAGGCTTTGTTAGGTAAAAAGACACCGTGGCTGCTACTTTTAGAACTGCATTGAGTTCGTTGTGGTTCCTTTGAATCGGTATACGTGTACCCGATTGGTTCACTCGCTACGACAGTGGACCACGTGGCGGGTGTAATTGCAATTCTTTCATGCCGTTGAAATAAGCTTTACTCGAGGCACGATGGACATACGCGACAAGCCTCCGATCGTGCTCGACTTAAACGTTTGCGAGCTCTCTTATGAGCGCATCGTCGTGTGCGGTGAACGCCTACAGGCGTTCCAAGAGTACGGCTAACGAACGTAGGATAACGATTGCAGGATCTCCGTACGTGGCGTTGCGTGTATGTGTGTGTGTGCGTGTTAAACCCTCGAATCTCACCACCGAAGTGGTTAACGATACAATGTGATTTCGTGTCGTTTCAGTTATACTGAAGCAGAACACGTTGGTGTGCCAGTTCGCATCCCCGTTGGATGTTGATACTCATAATAAACCCGAGGTACGTTCACTTATGCAAAGAAATTAATTAGAGTTATACAGATTGTCTCCACGAAGGAGGAAACGCGACATGGTTCTTCTTCTTTTAATTAGAATTGTTAGGTTGCTCTTAAAACAAAAACTAGCGGACAGTCTTATTGATACGCGAGAGCATCGAAATTTAACGACGGAGATCTCGTGTTTACGAGTGAAATTTTTATTCGAACGACGTTTCAGCATGTTAGTGACTCAGCAGTGTGCACACGTCATCGTCAAACACGGAATCGTCTTATTTATTACTTCAGGTTTTATATTTTAATTTTTTTAAATATCCTGTTTATCAAGTTCGCGATTTACGCATACTCAATTTCGATACCTAATCAGGAAGTAATAGCATCTTGCAATTTATGTGTTTTGAACTCATAAACTGAATAAAAAAAAAAGAGTTTCGAACAAATCATTATTGGCAGAAAATAAAGGATGCGGAAGAAAAACCTTGTCGCGTTGCTTAGCGCCTCCTTGCGTTTAACAACTCCTTCGCGTGGATTTGCAAGACACCCTGTATAAGCGATTAACAAGATCCGACTACTCGAGATCATTTGATCGCATACGCGAGGCGTTAACTCGCTGCCAACGAAGTAAATTTCAAATGCCTTCGAGGAAGCGATAGTTTTTCTCAGATTGCGCAAACCTTTATCGCGAGTTCACAACGCGAAAGAAATCCAAAGCTGTATAATAAACGTTGTCTCGTTGTTCCCGCGCGCAAGATGCTCTCGATGTAAGTGTAAATCAACGACGGTATCTCTTATCAGGCGGTGGTCTTAGAGGGCAAATACTGGAAGCGAAAACTTGCTGCGGTTACTGCGGAATACAAGAAATGGCGTATGTTTTACCGGAACAAGATCCTTGGCTGGACGAACAAGGATGGCACCGAGATGGTATTCAACCATTATGCAACTCTAAAACAATTTACTTTATCGTTCCTGCAACCCTACTGTTTATTACTCCCACTTCTCGCGACTTTAAACTTTATCCCTCGTTCAACCGAAACGCTCAGAAATTAAAGAGAAATTTTGTAAAGCATGGATCTACAAAAAATATGATCAGAGCCATTTCAGGTCAAGCTTAATTTTTATATTTGTTTCTAATATCCTGTACATTCATCGCAAAACAGTACACAGCAGGGTTGACGTAACTAACTCTCACGTAACTAACGCAGCGATTTCCAAACATTTTGGATGCCTACAAAAAATGTAATCTCAAACAATTTAGTTACGATGTATTAATGAAAACTTACGTTGCATCGTAAGATGTTCCATACTTTGGAAATCACTGATTTAACAACGCAACTAGTATTCCTAGTTTATGTATATTCTCGAGGATTTGCAGCGACTACTCTCGTTTCTTATTCATAGTAGAAAATGGGATCGTTTCAGATGGAATCAATGGACGTGTCAGATTGGGGCAGTGGATTGGGAACCTCGGGAAACTTCGGAGCAGGTATAGGCAACACACACGGAGGGACCAGTGGGACTCCAGGTGGAGAGAGTATGATGGTTGATGAGGATTACATGGACCTTATGACTGATACGTTATTTTCAACAATCAGTTCGAATCAACCAATATACTTTCCCGATCCGAGAGAAATTGGTAACTCATTAATTAAAATTGATGCGCGAGAATACGTTTCGAAAAACTAATAACGCCAAGAGACACCGGTGTATCTTGCACCGTAATAACGAACGAGGACGAAAGAAAGCAAAATTATCGGAACGATCTAGGGAAACGTATATGTAAAAAATATGCATAAGCATCGACGAATGATGTTCTGAACTATTCGTTTGGATTTGCAGCGCGTGGAGCTAGTCTGGCGGATTTTATACAACCCAGTCTTGGACCGCTCCAACCGAATTTAGATGATTTTATGGACACACTCGAACCGTTGCAAGGTAAACGATTAATATAAAATAGCTGTAACGTGCGTGAATTATTAGGCGATAATTTAATTGATCGTATTTTAGAATTTTTAAATTCGAAGTTGCCTCCTGTCCCCGAAGAGGACGACATGTTTCGAAGCGGCGCGCTGAACTCGAACTATTCGGATCTCGATCTGATGACGCCCATGAATCAGATGAACGAGTTGGGTCAGGATTCGTCGGTGAAAAATGCGCCGGCCTCGCAGCAGGCTACGCTGCCGCAGGACGAGCAAGGGACCGCTATACAGAATCTTCAGTACACCGCTAAAATATATACTCAGCCTGAACCGACGAGCACGTTCAGGAACAGCATGTGAGTCTGCACGCCGTCGATCCTTTGTTCATTCGTGGAATGCAATTGTATTTCAAGTGTCGATCATTTCAGTGCGCTGGGCGAGAACTACAGCCCGCTGCACCAGCCCTACGAACCGCCGCCGCCTCCAACGACTCAGCCTGTCAGGGAGAAGAGTAGATCCAGCAGAAACTCCGCAAGAAACAGTCGAATGATTCAACAGTCTCAGCAACAACAACAACCGCAAACTGCGTATCAACGAACCGGCCAGCAACAGAATTCCGGGTTTCAGCAGACGGCCCAGCAACCGTTCTCCATGGAGATTCAAAGCGTTCAGCTGACGACGGTCCAGAATCCGGTGCAGATGCCGGCGTTGAACGAGCAGTCCGTTCACGCGAATCAAATCTCGCCCATCGCTGGACACGTCGAAAATCTGGTGACGGTGCAGCAAAACTTCGCACAAACGAATTCAACGGTAGCCACGCAGCACAGAGCCATCAGACCCCTGCCACCGGTCGCGCCGATGTCCACGAAACCGTACAAAGTCGTTCAACCGCAGCAGTGCTACAAGTTCTCCGGTCTTCCGCAAACCTTTAATGCGCAGCAATGCAAATTCAACGCGAACAATTTCAAGGTACTCGTGATATCGCGATGATTCGCGCTGTTTCGTTTGAATAATGCATCGACGGAACGAGAAAATCGTTATTGAACGATTAGCAAACCGAACTCGATTAACATTAACTGTGCCTGTTCGCAGACACACCCACACCCGCAACAACTAATCGCGGTTTCCGTGGAGCAACCGGCCCAGTCACCGATACTGTTGCAGTGCAGACCTTCGGGCCTAGATCTCACCACGCCGAGCACGCAACCCGCCAAATTGCTACCGCAGCCCACCGCCTCGAGCACGGAGAAGGAGGAAGTTTTCGCTGTACCCAAGGTTGATTGCGTAATTTGCAACGGGAGTGCACGATCGGGAAAGCTTTTCGAGCGGGACTAGGACCCGAACAGTAAACGATAACGAGGGTAAACGACTCCTAGAATATTTTATAGTCGGCCATTTTAAGAAAGAACAATTTCACGCGTTCGTGTCTGCTCAACTTTGTTAAAATCTCGAGTGGTCCTCGACCGCCGTGATTGACTGGACCTATAGTTTCCAAACTTTTTTTGGTCGACGATTTACAAATAAAAATATTTCAAGTTTATCTCGGTTAATTCTACATAAGTTGTCTGCATGAATTTTCTACTTGGTTTGTTGAATAAATTATGTAAAGCATATCTCGCATTAATTGAATGCTCGTAAAACTTGTACTAAAAGACGGATGATGTTTACTACACTGTGTAACGTAAAAAGACTGGCCTGGGGCAATGGTTGAGAACACTTGTTGCTTTGAACACGTTTTGTATAAAAATGGCTGACCATTAGTGGCTACTATTCTGGGATTTGTTCATCTTTGCAACCACTTACATTTTGAATCTGTCCAGAAATCGTTTATCCTGACAGTGTGCTCCCCTTGTTAGGAAAAAATTAATATAAAATTCTTTATCGTAAGTAAAGGAATGAATTTTTTCTCACGTTACCGATCATGTTTCGTTTCAGTATCAAATGAAAGCGAGGAACAGATCTCGAAGTAGCTCCTCTCTAACCGCGCCGAGAATGCACCCGCCGCCATTAGTGTCAGCAGCGAGCGATCCTGCTCTAAATCTAAATAACAATGTTTTGCTCGCGCAGTTACTCACGAATAGTATGTATTTTACGAAACGTAATAATTGCACGGTTATAATTATGCTATTACATTACTCGTATCGGCGCTGATGCGCGATCATTGAGAAATCGTACATGGTATTATACCTTTTCTTGATGGTACAGAATATTATGAGAGCTTAAATATCGTTACTTAGACACATCTGGTGTATACACAATGAATAGTCCGGCTGATAATATAATGCCGACAATGAACCAAACAGCCACCACTATGAAACACATCTTACCCATGCTTCCACCTTCAGCTTCGCCTACGCAGGTGACGACCACACACCATATTACCACGCCGGTCACTGTTCAAACGATGCAAACATCTACGGTGCAAGCGCAACCGCAACTGCAACAACAGGTAACGCTTTACAAATTTTCTTTCGCCTTATAACCAGTTCATGATTCGATACTGAATCCCCTCTCGATCTCTGAAAAGTCATCGTTCAATTAAATTTGATCCGACTGCAGGATCGCATATTGCAAGCATTTGAACGTATCACTTTTCGAAGGGCATTCGCGAACACAGCCAGTTACATATGTTATATATGTATATTAAACATCTATATGCATTGAATTACATAACATTGATATCGACAATAATAAAACCACACCTTATGTAATCGATAATACTTTAACTGTCTGTTGCATATTAGGCAATGCAACAGTCTTCTTGCAGCCAACAAATGTTATTAAATACAACCACCCAAGCACACCAGCCACAAAATAGCCCCGGGTCGCCGAAAGATAGTTCCAACGCGCACAGCCCCCAGGCGTTGAGTCTCAGCCCTTTGCACAGTCCAATGAGTATAGGAAGCCCTTTGTCGCCTACTCGTGTCTACGTAAAGGGCGAGCCAGAACGGGGACAGTACAAGGAACAGAGAAGGGTCGGGCATATTCACGCGGAACAAAAGCGCAGATACAACATTAAGAACGGATTCGACATGCTGCATAGCTTGATACCGCAGCTCAGCCAGAATCCGAACCCGAAACTGAGCAAGGCTGCTATGCTGCAAAAAGGGGCGGATTATATCAGACAGCTGAGGGCGGAAAGGAATCAATTGAAGGAGGAAATGGATAGTTTAAGTCGTCAAATTGAGTACCTTAATAAGTCGATTAGGTAACAAGAGTCTCGCAAGGAACAAAATTTCTATTCCAATGGTTGGAAGGTTGTGCACTAATTTACAAATTGGATATTGTTGCAGTAACTTTCAATCTATGCTTCCTGCGACGGGTGCTCCGGTTTCTAGACAGAGAACTAGCAAAATGAAAGAGATGTTCGACGAGTACGTGCGCACGCGTACGCGAGAAAATTGGAAATTTTGGATTGTATCCTTTTTCTTTTTAAGAAGTTCTGACGAATTCGCGTTAACGTGTTTCGATTATTATAATTTATATTTCTTGACAAAATAATTAGTTCAGTATATTGCTTGAACCTCTGATGACTTCTTTTAATACATCGGTATCAACAGCGAGTATCGAGGATCTATACAGAAGTACAATATTATGGGTTGAGCAGCATTGCTCGCTCGTCGATCTCAGACCAGGTAAAACAAGAAATTTTAAATATGATTTGCTGTTAACATTATATTATTATCCCTTATATATTGTTTTTTTTTTATTTTTTATTTTTTTTTTTTTTTATTATTATTTTAGCCGTTCTGAACTCCCTAAGGAATTTGTGTACTGCCACTGATATTCTATCAGATCCTGGTCGTCTACCCGAAGAAGCACTCGCAGCAGTAAATCGCACGGAACGGCGACGATCAACTCAGTGACCAATTATGTTACGCAAATACGTCGTCAAACGGATTTGCATACACGTTTAAGATTTAGTCGCGTACGAGCAGGAAAAGAAACAGTTACCGTAGCTTAAGTCGTTCTAGGAGAAACTTACGTGAAAAGGAATTCTTAAACCGGTCTTTTTTTATAGTAGACTTTCAGATTTCCTTCCGCAACGATCGTGGTTGAGGATGGAAAACACTTAAGTGCAATTTTCCCCGTGTCCTTATCAAAATTGTGATCATAAGATTCGTAACAACATTAAAAAAGTGCGGGAAAATGTAAATGAATTTAATTGTGAACGATGTTTAATGAACTATTATATATGTATACAGACTGTTACAAATTGGAACACATTGAGATTTTAAAAACATTTTTTTTTCCTATAAGTTATCGCAATTATTCGTATTGAATGTTAACAAGCTGGAAGTACATTTATATTTATTACATAATTGTGTACATCACTTATTTACGTTCATTTGGCATTAAGGAATTATTTACGTTTACAAATTGCGGTAACGAAACTTTCGTGACATATGTTCGTTCTCTTCTCATTGAATTTTCTTGTAGTACTTGCCTACATGTTTACATAATATTTAAAAGGAAAAAAAGAAAACTATGTAGAGCAAACCATTCCATTCAATTTCTACTATGCTTATTTTGGACTAAATATGACATTCTTGGCAATGACTAAAATGTTAATATTTTACAAAATGTATGTTGCGTTAAAAAAAAATTAGTGTTTCTTGAAATTGTTCTATTTTTCATTAAGTAATGTTTTTTTTTTTTTACTTATAAGATGAAAACATTTGTAAAAATATATTGCGGACCCGAGGATATATTAATTGTCGGTATATTTTTATAATAATCAAAATATACGTAACTTTATGTTAAAAAATCTATCAGCTTTGAATATTCTTTTACCGAAATTGACACATAAAATAATTGTTTACGTCGCACAATGCGAACGATTGTTCAAAGTTTACTAATTCTACGTATCAAAATACCTAATCAAAACCGGTGCCATGAAATTATATTGTAATAAAAAACTAATGCCTTCTTGCTGTGAAAAATGCAGTTAAATTTTAACTAAATATTGTACAATATTTTCAATTATGACTTTGCCTTATATAATAAATTTATAACCGTTAATATTTGCATAGTAGTATAACTTTGGAATAATGAAAAACTTTATATTACAAAAAGTCAACTGCGTGAAGATAAAAAATGGGTTGCTCACAAATTAAAAGTATATTATATACAAATAATGTTATAAAATGTGAAATTTTTAATGCGAAATTTCATGTGATAATGTACAAATCATTTATAAAGGTTCAAATATTAGACCTTAAGATGTAAAAGACTTCTGTATATTGTAACAATGTTATTGCTTTTACATAATTGTATATAACAGAACGTTGTAAGCGGTGAACAATCTTCAGAAACAACTTAAACTACTTCCTGTAACAATTGTTAAAACAAAATTTACATTTTATAAATGCCTGTTCCATTAATGTTTACAATATGCAGATGTCTTTTACTTACAATTTTTCATTGTGTATGTTTAAGTGATAAATAATATAAACAAATCAACAAAGGGATGTTTTTTTTTGTACAATATGTATCATATAATCATATAAAAATTCATGTACTGTTATTCAGATGTTTACTTCCATAAAAAAAATTTAAATTTTATTCATTTCCTCTTGTACTCCTATATTAACCTGCCATGAGAACTTATTTATAAGACAGAAATATTACATGTTTGAGATTGTCTTATACAGACATCAAAGTGTCTATTGTCAATTTTGTTTTTTATACATTGCTTTTATAATGTTTCTTTACATCTATTGTTAAATACTTTATTAGTTAATAAATTACTAGTAATAATTTACATTGAACAACAATTGTATAAAAATATAGAAACAGTTACTCTTAGTTTTTCAATGAAGTTTCTAAGTTTAAGAACAATTCATAAATTATTTACTTATTAGAAAATAGCACAATTTATATTATTGGTGTAAAAGTTGAACACTTATCACAAACCAGAAATAGACACATATTTTTCTCTGAAAGTGGTAAGAAACCAGGTGACTCGTTACACTTTACAGAATGAGAATTTACACACTTATTTATTAGATTCCCCAAGTTTTTCAAACTGATATTGTTTAACATAAAGTTGCAAGAATTACAAATTATTTGATTTATGTTTTCTGTTAGATTAGATCTTTGACACATTGGACAAATAACTTCTTGAAATTCACTATCTGCTGTTAATGCTAGGAATTCTAATTCTTCTTGTGACATTCTTTCATACTCTTGCAAAATCCATTGTTCTGTAAGTGATAGATAGTAAAATTCTAAATATATGTAAAATACTACAGGTCTGTTAGACTTACCTTCTTCATCAAGAATTTCACTTTCAAGTTCTAGTGCTTCTTCCGGATTAAGAGGTTCATGAGAAAAAGGATTCACGTCTAGATCTAAATTTGTAGCAGCGATATCACTCAATTCATTTCGTACAATATCGTTCAACGTATCTTGTACATTTCTCGAGTTGATTTCTAAACCGAATCTACCTCTGTTAAACAATTGTCCCCGTTTCTCTCGCATTTTCTGCCGACACCTCTAAAATCGAATTTGAATATTAACATACTATATTGTCTCAACTAGTGTATTGCTACTAAATTTTCGATGTTTTTAAAATACGTAAAATGACAAGACAATTAACCTCTCTAAGAATCTCTTGCAACTTTGGTGACCCGTGTCTAATTTTATTCACCATGTCTCGATTTTTCAATTTCGTCGTCATTGTTGGACTTAATGTGATATTTTCCATATCTTGTGTAAACTCTATCATTTCAAAAATTGTTCAGAAAATTGAAAACGCAAGGTATCCGACTTGAATGACTTTAAACGAATCTGTAGTATGGAGTATCAGACAGAGATGCCAAATTGAGCACCGGTTGCACTACTCACACTATGCCAGATCACGCGTACGTGAACTCGTAGAGTTTCGGAAAGTCGACAAAGGCAAATTGATGCATGCTCTCTTTCTCGATTCCCCGAAGCTGCCCGAAGTAATTTCGGACCGCCTCGTGGGAGTCGAAAGAGAAAGGCTCACATTTGGCTTCTTGCTCTTATAATTATTTTGAGTTTAAAAAATCGTATTAATAATATACATATGTACGCTCATACATAGAAATAATAAAAAAAATTTCTTTTTTTTTCAATAATTAAAATATGATCAGGGGGTCTTAAAACGTGTATTTCCGTGAAATAAATTTTAGAAAATTTTTTTTCATTATGGGTACTTTGCTTATGTGCGCCTACATAGGTCGGCAAATAAAAATGCCTGGGCAGTCGAGAATCTCGGCTCGAGATTCCAAATCGTATGCCGATGACGGAAGGTCAGATTTCAGTTGTTCCAGAGCGAGAAGACATGTGAGTCTTTCTCTCTCGACTCCCACGAGGCGGTCCGAAATTACTTCGGGCAACTTCGAAGAATGGAGAAAGAGGGCATGCGTCAGTTGTTTGCCTTTGTCGACTTACCGAAACTCTACGAGCTCACGTACGTGTGATCTGGCATAGTGTGAATAGTGCACCCGATACTGAATTTGGCATCTTTGACGGAGAACGAGACGTGTCTCGATCTCGACCTGTTCAGTCCTGTCTGGAGTCTAGCATAATAAAAGATAGGTATTCTTCTATGTCAGTCAGATTCGGCCGCGAAAGTCCATAAGATGAAAGGTCTACTCGTATACCTCGTCTGTGATAGTATGTTAAAGGTAAACACGATGTAAAAATTGTATTAAATAACAATGAACAGAGTACAATTTAAACGACAATGATTTATCATTTATTGTAATACCCAATGAAGAAAGTGGAATACAGTTTTGTTGGCCAGGCGTTCTATTCAGATATCTGAAATCCTTTCCAGCTAAGGCTGATCAAGAAAATCATGAGTCAACGATATATAAAACAATCATTACGTTAGAGCGAGGTTGCATAATATAAAACAATGACTCTTGATTAGTTATTACAACATGTCATTTAAGTTATGCTAACAAAAATATAACTCTTATTACCAGTGATAATAATCGTTCATCCGTATAAGTAAAATATCTTTGCAGTCACGTCTACGAATAAATATATAATATATCTTAACATTTACGTCGTCGTATACATACATATATGTATAAGGTATTTCGCGGATAACTTTACCGGTTAGTCTGACATAATTTGAACTCTGGCGTTGATAAATAATCTTTTCGGTATCCATAGAAACGACTTTTAACATTTTTTACGTATTAAACTGAACGCTGTAAAAAGTGTTTGAGATCCGTGAATATATAATAAACGATACAAGTACTGCATATAGAACTCTTTCCTTTTTAATCTTGTAACAACGATCCGTCGACGATCCAACAAAGTTACGCGCTTCTCAAACACCCTATACATACATATACACAGTTATATACACGTATACGGACACATTCTGATAGACGTATGTATATGTATATACCTACACAGTATATCATGTACCTGTATACAGAACTACGCTCGTGCCACTTTACAACGATACAAACAGTCAGTATTTCGGTTAATATTAATAAATCTGCTTCACGTACCGCATCACAACGCGTATACAACGCCGAGTAATAATACATGATTTATCTTTTCATACGCCAGAACTAGATCGATGGCAGATCTTCGACCGACTACAATATTATTTAAACAGTCAAGGAACAATGATGGTACAACAATGATTTAATTAATTGTTAATCTAATTTCGTCTGCTATCGGAACACTCAGCTCAGAAAAGAAAAGAAGAAATGATCCATCGTCTACGGCGACACGAGGTTCAAAGAATCAAGTTGCATCGTTTCTTAAACGCGTTTCTTTTTAGACATCGTTGCAACGAACGGTTTACACGATCGAATCGGCTGAGCTTTTACTATCGCGTCGAGCAACTATCTCGTCAGTAATTAGTCATAACAATAAGCGACGCAATGATTTTAATTGTTACCAATTACAAAATTAGATACATTTCCTCGATCGATATGTGGACGATAAATTGTTCATCTAATTGGAAAATGTTTAAGCGCACAATTGTCGACAAAACGCATCGATAACTAACGTCAACACCCTTCGTCGCGGAGCTATCCGTTTGTTCACGCGAGAATAGCTACAGTTATTATCATCTGGACAGCAAACCCGTCGACGAAGATCGTGGCTAACTAATAAATTATATTCTAACCATTATCCATGAACATTGCAGCGACTTATGTACACCTTGTTCGTATTTACATTTGTCGGGCACGACACACGGAACTATGCGATTAGAGGGAAGTGTCTTTGTACCAACGATTATCGGGAAACGCCCTGTCGTATCCACGAAACTGCTCAAATAGACAACATACAAAACGGTGTTATACTTTTGCAAATAATCTAATCCTCCGTTCATTTTAGAAATCGATACGGACAGCACATTGAAAATAACATAGCACCGAAGGAACTTGGGCGCGACATTATGCATTTGCAACATCCGATGGATCTTGGCGATCGATCGGACCACTAACAGGACTTACGCGCTAATTATCGCTAACAGTTAATGTCACGGTTAATATCGGTTTCGCCTCGATAACAACGAATAGATTCAGGTAACAATTTCAACGAATATTTGCCCGCGTCTTACAAACTACAAACAGAGCGGTGCGACTACGGTAAAAGATGATTGTACATACACGTTTTGTTTATTTTTTTTTTTCTTTTTCTTTTTTTGCAGATCGCGAAACCGATCGAGGGACTACGCGGGAACGAAACTCTAAAAAATCCGGTGCTCTTCTAGGGAAACGTGCTTCCTTTTATTCGTCATTCACAGTAGGAACTAGACACTTTATCCTCCGACTATTTTATCAAAAATTTTGATCATATTCGATCACTTTGCGAAGGACGCCGACACCGCGTCCGTTTATCTCTGAAACGCTTACAGAGAGTGTTCGGTGAGGCCCAGGATCGCGCGAGCGTCGAAAATACGCGTCACGACGCTCGCGAGACGCTGGTCCAAGTCGTTAGAAAAAAAGGTCTGGTCACGCCGGTAGAAAAGTTTTGATCGCGCGGATTATCGCCGGAAGAGGAAGGTCCTCGTACGTTCGATCCGTTGTTCGATCGGAGAGATCCTTCTCGGAGGGTGGCGGAGGGGTAGGGTCTGTATGATTTCGCGATTCGTATGTACACGTGAACCGTCACGAACGACGACCACGGCGTTTAACTTTACAGGTATACACAGAGAGGATACAAAAGTGGAGTAACAAAGTAGAATCGTCTTCTTTAGATCGTTGAGCACGCGTCGGTCGAAACGTACGAGGATCTCTCTTTGGTTGGACGCGCGTTAAGAGCTATATCCGAGCTATCCTCGCGATAGAACGTTATCGTTCAGTGCCGGGACTCGAAGAACGACCGGCAGCGAGCGAATCGTCAGAGTTTCTCCGGTGCCGTGGTTCTTCTGGCTGGTCCAGTCTGCGACGAAATCGAAGGACCGACGCTCGTTGATCTCTCCAAAGGCAACAGCATCCTGCTTGGAATCGGTTGCGTCATTGCCCGCTTGACCAGCCTGAAAGAGCTATCGTTCGTCGGTGTTAGTAAATTATTGTCGAATAAACTCCGTGCGTTTCAAAATTTTATATACTTGTGCATGTATAACGTACTGCTAGTCAATATGGGTCTGTCGTCTACTACGTTGCTCAGAATAATTAGACCGTGCTTGCCACTAAAAGACTACAAACCAAACTTTTGATCTTCAAGTTTTTAAATATTCATAATTGTTCTGAGCAGCGTGTTTCCTTAAGCACCCTCAAAAGTTAAAGATACGATCAAATTGTTAAAAAACTGGCAAACAGGATAAGCGTTAAACGAGTCTGATTTACTATCGGCTGCAGGGTTATCATGAATCATGCCTGAAGAATTAAGTTATTGTTGCTTATTGACGTGTAGATGTTTCTCCGCAAAACCGCGCTAGGAAATTGAATCGGTCGTTCAAGTTCCCAGCGTTAGATAGAATCAAATGTCCGGTTAACGTTCTTCTTATCGAGCGAAATCCATTGCGTAGTGGTCCCTGCTTCGTCTTGCTAACTCTAAATCGACAATCGTCCCCGATTACTTTTCATTAAACATAATTAGATTCGACTAAAATCTACGAGTCTAAATCTAAGACGTGTATCTTCCAACGAAGGATCTCTCGAACGTTATTTAAATATGTTGTAGCACAATCGTGACAAGTAATATACCGCATCGATCAACGAGACGTGCGTAGATCGCCGAACGTGGAAGCAGATGAGGACATGGATTAACAGCATAGAAGAACTAGCGGCGTGTTTGGATGTTAATACTGAAAGCGTGATAGAAATATAACATCTCCGTGAGTAAAGAAGCACGAATGAATGATCGAATGACGATGAAGGCTGTCTCGTCTGGAATGACAGCGATGCAGAGTGGATTATTCGTACATTCCTTGAATGAGTAAACAAACGTATGTGTATGAGCACACCTTCCATTGTGGAAGGATTTGTTTCGTACGTAGTTAACAATTTCCTTCAATGGAGCCTCTACAATGGAAGTTGCTTTAGTAGAGAGAATGGGTACAATGAAACACGAAATAAGAAAAAGTCCCTTCAGCTGGATCTAATTCAAAATACAAGCTGACTGGCTCCAAATACAGTTCTGCCTCGTTTCTTACATCAGTATACGTTAGGGATACTTGCGACGGACTCGTCCCAATCATTGTTTGCGTTTAGTCAAGTACCGATTTGATTGTAAAAAGAGAGGCAATACCGTGTGTAAAGAGTGGCTCGAGTCGCTGTAGGATCTGCATATCCGCTCCGTCTGCAGGGTTTTGATACATAGCTAGAAAGGATACTTAAATATCGTGTCAGAAGCATATTGAAAGACAGTTGTAGAACGCGTGAATTAGTGAAAATAGCTGTCGATTCGACGGTACACCGTTATGTCCGTGTATCGTAGTGTTTTTGTAACGGCATTCACAAGTATAATCGTGCATCGTGTCAGAGCTTCTGTTGTATTAAATGTTCAGTCGTGCTGTTAGTCTCTTGTACAAGCAGATATCTCAGCCCGATCTACCACCGAATCGAAACGCAAAGAATAATTTAAATTGAAAAAGAAGACGCTCGATTATGACGCAATTGTGCTCGTATAAAAATTTTTGTGAACTCCTATTTAGTGAAAGATGATTCGATCGTCGGTGGTGGATCCAGCTTAATGTTTTCTGTAACACAAACATTCCACCTAACAGATTTCAAGCGGTAAGGGGCTCTGGTTTACCTTGGTCGTTAAAGAGTGAGATCAGACCATTTCTGGAGGTAACGAAAAAACTGTTTAGTCTCTGTACATCTAGACACTCATATGTTGATTAACCATAAATACTGGACATATGTATGGCTGACAGATAAAACATTAAGTTTGAGCGTAGAATTGGCGGCGGCTTTTACCGAGAGCATGATATCGACTACGCTGCGTGACTAGACATATCTTCATAACAGGTACCTGTAAGGAAGAAACTTATAAGCTTTAAACATTGTTCAAACTCTTTATCTAACAGCTAAAGAGAATGAAAAATACGTATTAGATAAATAGAAAAATTAATTGTCGTTAAGGTCGCTCCTAACATTGGAAAATGAAAGGTTACGCCGATCCAACGTGAAACGTTAAGGGCATATGCACGCCTACGGTTACGATAATAAACAGAACTGATCAAAATGCTATCTTTCTATCCGTAAACGCAGCGTCTCATTCTAACGCAAAAAGCGAAAGAAGAAAAAGGGAAGATGAGAATGATGTGTACCAACATGGATGACAGTACTGTACATAGATTATGGTGGTGTGTACTAGATGCAACTACAGAAATATTTCCCAATCGAAATTGGACGTAGTCGCGATCCAACTGCTGCTTATTACTGTATACAGCGGACGTCACGTAAGGATGATTTCTATACCCGAACATACGATATAGACTAAAGTAGCGTTTCTCAAACTCGAATCAAATTTGAGAAACACCGAACCAGAGTATCGAAGACATTCGCTGGTCTATATCGTTTGTTTTCTTATGGATTATACCATGCCAAGACTACTTAGATTATTCGTGGTTTAAGTACCTTGTTCTCGTAGTCTAGGATTGTTTTTATAGAGAAATCTCTCGACATACACGGGTTTTAGTTAACATTGATTCGGCCGCGATTCGAATACGAAGATCGCACCATCATCGATTACCTCTGAAATAACTACTTTCGCATTGAAATTTTCATACTGACATCACAGTATGTCCAGCTATAAAAATACAGCGTTATCTATGTACAGACAATAGAGTTTTTGATTAATCTCCGAAATGCCTTACACACGGCCAGCGTGTCCTCTTTCTAGGAGACAACACTTATCGCACACGCATGACACCTCCAGCGTTCTGCGGCGACCGAAACATCTGAACGTCGAGGATAGCAAGGATCGAATGAATCATTACCTTAAAAATTCCCACATCACGGCAACGTGTAAGCTGATAAGACACAATATCCACATTGATTGTATTCAGGGACTAGATAGCTTACCTTCTCCGCCGTAGAGAAGCATTTAGTCCGGGTAAACCAAACTGACCTCTCGGGATCACCATGCGCGCATTACCCTGAGCAGGTCTCGAACCACCGTGCGCCTGTAGCATGGTTAAATGAGCGGCATAACCATCGTGAAGAATCGTCGCCAGAGTGTGGTGCTTCTTTGGCACTTTTCCGATGATGAAAATTTGATTTGGCCTAAGATTAATTGCAGTGTAAACGCTAATATCTTTGCTACTGCCGTACGCGTGATGAATTATTACACCGTGTTCCTGAGAAGAAAAAAAATAATTATTAAGAGAATGTAAAAATTGGCGTGTAACACGGCACGAAGATTAATTATTTTTACCTGAACGAGTTTGTTTAAATACGCAGCTTTGTGACCAAGAGGGTCCGTCGAAAGACCGTCCGCAAAGGACACGAGTCCATGCGGAAAGTTATGTTGAGACAGCCAGGAAACAACTTTCTGCTGCTGCATGTCAGGCCTCGCGGTAATATAAATAATTAAATAGCCCAGTTCTTGCCAGTGCCTTGATGGAACACACTCAGATCAGTAGATGAAAAGAAAATTTGTATTCGAATATCACAGCTTCGAATGTACCTGACAACGTCAACAGCTCCTGCCCTAACTTTTGGATCCTTCCCACTAACAGACATGCTTGCCGTAAACGAACCGTCTATACTAAATACCACACATTCTGTTTTAGGTGGAATCACAGCCAAGAAAAAGTCTACGGATGTATGATCGCCCCTGAAAAACGATGGTTCAATTTTAAACACATCTTGGCGATACTTTATTTTCGTGTGCAGATCAATCGTATTACCTAACAATCATTTTAACTGGATAAAGTCCATAGCTTAACGCTTTGTCATCAGGTATTTTATACGTTATTCTACCATTTTTATCAGTTACTTCGGTCGATAAGTACGTCCATTCTCCTGCAGGATCATCCTTCATAATGTGTACGTCCACCTTCTCGCCTGTGAAAACAGATTATGTAAAGTATGTTTCATAAATGTTTTGCATGAAATTATATTCAACGCACCTGTTAAAGCGATAACGTCGATCGGACTGTACATAAATCTAGCAACCAACACTTGAGGTGCTCCTTCTCTAACAATTACATCATTCGCTCTATGATTGGCAGCAACATTCTGAAAATGAAAATTCATATTGGTGTAATCGAACAGACGCCTGTTCGAGTATCTCGATATGAAATTTTGTTTACTTCGATTTACCTTTAACTTAACAGAAGTGCGTTTCTTATTCCACTTTTCTCTAGGTTGACCTGGACGGAAGGAAGTTAATTCTTTCTCTTCGTTAGTAAGTATCGGTGAGTCGAATCTCCCTAATTGTCGTACAATGAATGCAATCACGTCGGAAGATTCCCAGTAACTAGCATGAAAAAGATGCGGCAAAGCGTTCGTAGGAAAATTCGCTAAACCTTCTGGACAGTAGAGAGCATAGTCCAATCTCTTTGTACCCCACCATTTTTGCGTTACTGTAAGTAGTCGCAAAGTAATATTAATGTTTCAAACACTACCGTTAAGTATCATAATTTACTTCTCACTTACAATTAGATACTACTTGTAAAGGAACATTTTCAATCATACCGGACATGGTACTGTGAATCGATATATCGGACAGTCGCCTCACGTGAGACATCGATACATTTGGAATGTTTAGATTATCGGTAAATAGTTGTGGGTTTGTCTGAATTGCTTCCACTAAAAATAATACATCGTTCGATCGATAATTTCTCACCAGTAATTTCATTCTAACGATTTTCAGACGATACGTACACAAATGAAACGGTTGGCCATTCCCGAGTGGATACTTTTGGTACCGAGCCACGTTAACGGGTGGAAGGAGAGAAAATTTCGCTGAGATCAGTGGCTCTAGCCTAGCAGCTACGGGATCCGTAGGATGGAATAAGTTGTACACCTGATTTACAAACGGCCTTTTTATATTACTATTCTTATCGCCGCCCAAAGAAATTTTTCTATACGCCAGAACTAAAGCAAGCGGACTGCCGAACATAAAAAACTCTCCTACATCGAAGTCCAATTTACACAGCTGTTGGCTATCGCTAAACAAAAGAAGAATGTGTTTAGTATCTTTTAACGGCAGTATCTCTGATAAACCTCTAATAAACCTCTCACCTCGAGCCGGATGATTTTCTCCTAGGAGACGGTGCAGCCAAATGTTTACCGTCTTCATTGTTCTCGACGCCTTGGTTGGTTAAAATATTGTTTTCGTTATTATGCCTAGAATGGGATGATCTACACAAAGCGTCAAACGTTAAAATCGCTCCCACCGAGTCTCCGACGAAGCAAATCTGCCCTGTGAAACCACGGCCTTCTTCGCTTTTAATAAACTCGTGGTAAACTTGATTAGCTCCAGCTATGACTCGCGAGACAGCATCTTGATATTCAGGAGTGGAACTAGCGAACAATGGTATCGCACCAATTGGGATAGTGTCGTGCGTCACTTGAGGGGCATCCGTAGAAGAAGGTGACACGTCAAAACTATATGGACTTAGACTAAAAGAGAAACCATCGGATTCCCATGAAGAAACGCTACATACAAGTTATTTAAAAGGTCGTTTCTTTGGTTTTCAGCTTTACCTGGACAAGATACCCAGACCTTCTGTACAGATAGAGGGACAGGAAACATATTTAATGGCGACGTGTCCAACCATACTGGGATAGTGTTGTCTCATGACCGACTCGAAGGCTCCTTTGAACGTTGTAATGTCCGATTTCTTCGCGGTCAAGTCAACGTTGGCGTCTGAAATATTCAAATAATTGTGAGACCGATCGAACAATCTTTAAAATTTACATTACTTACCTAAAACGCTTCCAGCATGCATCACGATAAGAAGCACGGTAGTTTTGCAAGGATGATGGGTCGGTGAATGTTGAGGCGAAGCTGGACACGAGACGTCGATGCTGGCCGATGTCGAGATCTGCAATCTTTTACTGCTACGTTCACAAGCCATTCGTTGGAGGTAGGAAGGCGAGAATATTGTGTCGTCTGCAAGTAAGGTGTTAAAATCACTCGTAACATTAGTTAAAGATTTAATATCTGGTTCACTGGTCATTGTTTACCTTCTTTGTTCGTAGTGCTGGTCGGAGTGAACGTATTGTCCTCCTCTTCTGCTAGAAGATCCAAAGAACTCCATTTAGCTAATGAAGAGTTATCTCCGAAGCCCTCTGTGTAATCAGAAATTTTAACATTGCTTATGCATCGTGCCTTTTTGTACAATTGTGACACGTGTTAAGAGAGGAATTAGAAGAACACGAATCGGGATGCTTCCCCTCTCAGATTAGAATAGACGTCACAAGAAGCAGGAAACGGTAACGCAAGGAGACTGACAGCGTTATGCTGCATTAAATTCAAGTATCGACTCTAGATAAGGTCTGCTGTTTTTGGAGTCTGCGTAGCCATGCTGAGCTGTTTTTAGAAGTTCCATGCTCAATGTTATGTATAATTTCCATAGATATGTACATATCGTCGTGCAACAAGTTTCTTTTTGTGTATATTGCAAAGGCATGGATGCAATCATGCAATGTTTCGAGACTTATGTAAACAATACTAACACTAGTGTCAATGTTGATCTTTAAATCCTTGGAATATATCTTCCAACGGATGCTTTAAAATGTTTGTAATTCTAAAAATTCATCTACGTGTCCTACCTTCGCGTATAATAGGTATAACGAACCCAGCTGCAGTGTGGAATGCGACATAAAAAAAAAGAAACAGAGAGGGTACACATAAAACAAATAGAAAACGTTAACACCTGCTCATGCTGTATATTTCTACTCGCACGATGCGAATTTCCGAACGAACCGCGGTTTCTATATTTGCCTTCGTAAATTTACTTTTCTAATTTGTTTGTTTAGAAGCTCGGCGTAAAAGAGAAAGCCGGCGGTGTCCAAGAAAATCGCCGATGCGTTTGCTTGATTATACAATTCCATAAGCCAAATGTATTACTTTTTAGAACCTTGGAAGGAATTACCGTCATGCTGTGCAAGATGAACTGGCGTTTTACCTTGACAATCGAAGAACTCGTCCTCGCTACCCGACTCGGATTCCCTGACGATGCTTTCCATCCGCCAGTTCGCTATCTGCATGTCGAAACTCTTGTTCGAACAGGGCGAATGCACCGACGTTTTGTTCTTCTTCCATCCTTTCTTGGCGTCTTTATCCTCGGTGAGGGCATTCCTGGTACAGTGAATAAACCAGTGAATAAAACGCAACTCGAACCGGGTTCGTGAAAAGCGAAAAAGATTCCTGATTTTACATCCTATTTTACCTGAGTTCAGGTACTTCGGTCGGTGAGTCTTCGGGGCTGACCTCGCCTTCGGAGCTACCTGTCGTGTTCGTCGTTGGTATGTCGGACGATTTTCGGACGCTTTGCGGACTCTGCAGGTCCTCGTTCTTCTCTATGCTTCCCAGGGTGGCGGCTAAAGTCATGGCGACGTCCGAGTCCTGAGGAGACGCGTTGGACGTGGACATATCTTGGTTATCCTCGGTGGCCTCTTCGCCGCCCTCGACGGCTCCCATCCTTCGCTGCAGCGCCAGCTGAGTTTGACGTTCGATTTCTCGGATGTCCTCCATCGTCAGGCCGATCCACTCATCCTGCCAGGCCCAAGCTTGCGTGTGCGCGCGTAACATGGTTTTCCGCAGAGCTGAAATTTAAAAGGAGGCTCAGCTGTACCGAGAAACGAGTAAACAAAATGTGCTTACGTATAATACTGACCCGTGTCGTGTATGAACTTTTCTAATTTTGTTTGCAGGCCCCAATAACGGAATTCTACGCGACATAGCTTGTAGGCGCACATCAACGACTTCCCGGCCGGCGTTGGCTGTTGCTTGCCCTAAACAACAGTGACTCACTGTATCTTTATCGATTACCACTTGTTAATAGCAGTTGGAAATCGTCGATGAATTTGGAAGGGGGTCTACTAGAGTGGTTCTTGGGTACATACAACTTGATATGTTTTTTACGAATTTTCTTGGTCTCTGGAATGGTTCCAATACATACAGAAATAATCTTTACAATATGAGATTCATTGCATAATGGAAAACGTGTCTGACAGGCCTTGAACGTTTGCATGCGATGCTTTATTTGATAAAATTTTAAAGCCAAGCTCATATTGTATGCATTATAAAGTAGGGACCACGCCACTGTTTATGTATTCATGCGTTGAGAAATAAACTTCTCTATAAGTTACAGGATCATATTAGTGTCAAACTCGAAATTGACGTTAAAGTTAGACCATTAGGGTAGCTAAACGATATTGCGAGGGTAAGCTCACGGTGGCCTCGAGCGTCCAGTTGATTTTAATCCAATTACATCTAAGGAGAAATTGTTTAAATTGCGGAAGAGTCATACTTTTACGTCAGCCCAGTAATCTTCCAGCCATGATTCGGAGAGCGGTCCTCTGCCACTTTTCTGGGATACGTATAACTTTGGGTCCTCCTCTTTCACATAGTCGCCCATGTGCTGGTCCTTGACAATGTCGATTACGTCTGAAATTTAATTACGTAACCGATAAAGGTCCACGATATTTAATGTCATTGTATTTTAGGTACAGGAATAAGCAGTGGAATCCTACCAACGATCCTGTTCCTTAGATCGCTACCGCTGAGCTTGAACACATTCTCCTGGTAGCCATTGTCAGGAAAATAGTACGTTTCTATCTCGATAGAGAATTTTTCGATGAAGGGAGAGGTGTAACGTGTCTTCGTGTAAGGATAAGAGTTCCATGCTTCTTCTTTGGCTATCAACGCAGATCTCGGTAACAAACTCTTGAACCATTCCGGAAGATGACGGCCCACGTGGTAAACCTTGTGTGTGTACTGTCCATTTCCACCTGGTCCGTTGCTGTAAGGTTCGTTTACTATGATCTCTACACCGCTGCCTGCTCCTTGGCTCTCTACGCGAGATTTTTTCTGCAAACGATTACACGACGTTGCGATAAACTATACTTTAAAAGCGGAGTAGACACGCTACTGTCTGGAGATCACCGGAATCAAGCATGTCAAACAATTGAAAACGGTGTAAAACTGCTAATCTGTTTACAAAAATGAGTTTAACATGCCTGAGTCAAGTTATCGACGAGATCTAAATCGATGCTGATAGCCATTAAGAACGATGGTTTAATAATTGTTCTATAATGACAGTTTGAAATCGTATCAGATACTGTGTGGTCTTAGACACAGCAACGTGGTCATTAACGCGCTTTTAATTGCCCGTTTGCTTGATCGTTGGGCGATTCATTAAACGTTAAGACTCAAGACATTCGATGTATTTAGTCGGTGGTTCAATGTGTTGAACGAAGACTCGATTAACTATTTATCGCTAAACGCATTGAACAAACGCCAGTTAATAGAATCTTTCGCATCTACCAATCAAAGTAATTAGACGATCACTTACACAAATGACTTTATCCTCGAGCAAGGTATCCAATACATTAAGAGCTTCGACATGCCACGTTAGTTAGGCAATTACTGCAATTGGATGCAATGTGGTGACCCATGATATTTACCAAAAACTGACCTCTTTTTACGTTGCACTCATCAGCGTCCTATTCATTGAAACCGTTTTAAACGAAGCTTACAATTTGCTTTTTCAATTTGCAAAGAAACGAACGGAATAAAACTTGGTCTTAATGCATTGGAATAAAACAAGAAACAAAGATCGTTTGCCTCTATTGAATTCAATGGAATCGATACTTCTCTATAGCAGAGCGTTTCAATACATATTTTTTAATCTTTATTGCTTTCTAATCCCCACGTGGACATTAATCTGAACGCTGAACGTGTTAAGTACACACGGTCCAGCTTCCCGTTAATGGTACTCGATCCAATCTACCGAAACATGATCCTCTAATTGCTGATGAACGGTTGTGCGACGATCGTACAATTTCTGAGACATTTACCGCAATCATATAAAGCTGAGCAATTCTGTATTCCTCCACGGTGAGAGGCAACGGTATTCGATACTCTTTTATCAACATTTTTGCTGATCTTATTTATCTTCTACCCGCTCTCGTGAAAGACACTCGTCGATCGAAGATTGCCGTCTCTTCTTTGTCGTTCAACTTCATGGTAACGCAGACGCGATCCTTTAAGAAAAAAAGAAATAACAAAACCCATTAGGGCGCACAAAGAACGTTAGAAAGAACGCTACATTATCAAGATTTCCCTGAGGACGGTGATCGATGTTACTCGAATTACCGTTCGAGCGATCCGATCAACTTTCGTCTCGAATGTCGCGCGTTATCAGCCCCGGTTGGCGCGTATTGTTGCCTAGAAACGATTCGTGGAGGTTTCTATCTACATACGTGTTCGTTTTATCAGATATTCGATTAAAAAGTGCGCAGCACGAAAGCTCGTGGCTATCTGTAGGTGCATTCTTGTGCATTAGAAATAGAGACCTCCCCGTGGATCGACTGACTGATTTTCCCAGTCTATAATTGAAGCACGTCAAATGCTGAATCGTTGCGATTCTACCGCACGTTTCCACGCAAATCCTCGCTCGGGGTCGGCCACGGACAGTTCAGTAGGCATTAATAACGATGTTACAATCGATTTCAGTAATGTCATTAATATTAGCAAATTGCATTTTCCGAATACCGCGATGGGATCACCAAGAAGCACGTTAAATTGGTCTAATATAGAAATTGTTGTTGATCTTTAAAGTAGATTATTTAAAGATTACGGACTCAAAAACTTTTTTTCCGTTAACAACCTTGTACCTAGTGCATTAAATGCATATTAAATGATGAAAAATAATAATAGTTTTCTTCGAACGCGTAGTAATTAGTTTCATTCCAGGTATATTGGCTCGTCTAAAATACATTAGTGCTAAACAGTCACGCAGATATTGGATTTCGCACGAAGCTGTAAGCAATTCATGAACTACAAATACTAATGGAGCGGCCTCACGAAACGGGAATACGGATTCCTCGGAGCTGCAAAAGACCAATAAACAAAATGTTACGTAAGACGCTTATTTATACCCACCTGAACTACGTCGATCATAAAATCTTACGCGAAATTGCTGCCCTTCGGCGAGAAAGTTATAATTGCGATCTGTTATTTCTAAAAACTTTATCAAATATTGTTGTACGATTTTATTCGCATACGCTGCTTGAATAAAATTTATCCCACCTCTGATGATAAAGATTATAACTCAAAATTACTCTGATTTACAGCTCAAATATCCAAACACGCTTGCGATAGAACAGAGACTGCTGTCAACAAACACAACTAAGTATATGCTTATTTCTAATCGCAGAATCGGCGCAAAATTTGTGTCGTGCGTTACGATCGAGAAAAAAAAGAATTGAAACGTAATTTCTATTCGAATTTTAAAAACGTTCGTCTTTTTGCAGCACTGAAAAACAGTTACAATCCACGATAGTCCGTCGCAACGCTTGAACCACTGTTCACGATTGGGCCACAACCTGTCAGATCGGACCAATCGTTTTCGTCGAGCTCAGCTGACAGGTCTCCGACGGTTTGACACCGGCTCGATGTCTACTAAGATCTTAATAATCGTCGAGGCACGCGAAACCGCGGACCGACGCCGCATCGACGTACTTACGAGCAAGGGGTTTCCTTAACCTTGAGCATCACGGAAATAGGGCAGATTGGTGGTCGGTGCAACGAGGCGATCGCTCGTCCTGCTTCCTCTCACTGGTGCACCGTGCTTTTCGCGCCACACCTTCGTACGGACAAATCGCGGGAAGACCGGCAAGCGTCCGAGTCGATAAAGGACGCGAAACGAATGATTATCGAGGCATCTGCCCGTACTTATCACGAATGACGTTGCTCGATTAGGTTTTCCGTAAAAACGTATCGTGCATGAAGCGTGTCGTCGCTCCGCTCGAGTAGCAGACACTCGCGCGTGACTTTTTCACGCGTACTTTGCACAGTCACATCGTTCGAATTCCAGGCAAGAGTCCCCGACACGCATGGTACACGAGATTACGAAATATCACTTGTTTCTTTTTTTTTTCTTTTGCCAGGCGGGGCAGAGAACTTGGCAAAGAACGAACGAGACGAAGAAAGCTGAAACAATGTTGCGCGTTCCTGTCAAACGTGTTTGATAAGGCAACGCACAGGAAAGCAGGCGTTGGAACATTCGTCGAAAGAAAGGGTTAACGCGACACAAAGATGTCACGACGTTACGTCGGCAACGCGCGGCCACCGACTGACGGGCCAGAGGCCGCTCCGATTGGCGGGCCCGTTGGCACGCGCGACTTCTCGAATCCACGAAATCGAGCTGGACCAATCGGAGCGCCCCCTGCCGCCCCCGCGGCCCAGCGATCCGGACACAGTGCCGTCAAACACGGGCGCCTCCTTTGGGTCTCCTCAGAGCACCCTTAATTCCTTACTTACGTCGAGCTTCGATATTCAATTTGCTACTTTAATCCATAGAAATTTACGTAACCGAGAAATTAACGCAAAGGTAAATTTCCAGGTACTAGAGAAATTCACGCGTTGAAATGCTGTTTGCATGGACGTTAAAACACGAATGTTTACGAGAGTGGTTGTTACGGGTTTCGGGGGAAGATGCAGATGGCAGTTAGCGCCGACAGGGAGACCGGGGATGTAACGAGGTGAATTTCAAGCGATTGCTCGAGATTCTTAATTACGAATGATTTGCAATGCAAATTGCTGAAGCCGTCACTGGCTGGACAGCCGCCGTTAGCCGCCTCCGTCGCCTCCCTGGCCTATTGATCGATCCCCGAGCGAGCAAGAAAACGCGAGACCAGATGCGCCATAACACCAGCGAACTCCCGCGGAGGCGAGACTCGACGCACGTTCGCCGTCTGAGATGCACGCGTCTATCGGCCGGTCGAAGGATCGTTTCGGGAGCGGCTATGCGGTTCCCACACCCGCGTTTTACGTTATTAAAATGATGAACGTTGTATCCTACCCACGGACGGGAAGCGTGCCACTTGCCGAGGCGAGGATCTTTCTTTTTTTTTTTTCTTTTTTTCTTTTTATCCTCTGAATAGTTAAACGCGAAAGCCGCTCGTCATTCACGCGAACAAGGGAGAGAGGATGAACGCGGACGAGGCTTGTTTATTCTCGCGCGTCAACTCTTTCAAACGCCCTTCCGAGAATTACTTTTTTTTATAGAGTAAAGAAAGAAGGCGGTTTAGGGTCGAGGGAAATTGCTAGTAATCGGCGCAGGGAAGTAAAAATAACGTCGCGCGAACCTTATTTTAATTCTTTCGTTCTGTGTAACTTTGCGACGCCGCGCGGTGGCACAATTGCATGCCAAATGCGAAAAAGATGTACACTGTAGTTTAAAACTTAGAGTAACTTCCGTACCTTGGAGTTTGTATTAACGGGAAAACTCGTTTCAAGAGAATCGATTAAAGTTTCAAGCGATATTCTTTGATCGTATAATCTTCTTTTTTAAAGTGGAAACTTTTTAAAATCTCCGTACGATGTTCTTTTGAAAAGGCTTCAACTATTACCAGATTTCCAACGATTCAACGTTTCACAATTTCCAAATCCTTGTGAATGGTATATTCTATCGTCACAATTTGCATACATATTTATGAGAAGCAAAAAAAGCACAGCATATTATAATAATAATACGTCGTGTCTGGTATCGAGTTAGACAAGGTACAATGACTAACGAAGTAACTCAAACAAGATAACCGGTATAACATAGTCACAGCTACGCTGCTAAGTAGGTGACCTCAACCTCAAATAAAAGAACAAATCATGATTGCAGGATAACGAATAGCAAGCAGAAAATGTAGAACGACATCGAGGAATGAAAAATGAGCTAAGAAACGATTAATGATACGGTTCGGGAACAAAGTACAAAGTTCAGAAGCAGCCACGAAACCGACAACGAAGTAGTAGCATTATTATGGAAGATAAAATGCATTTATCGAGGCTGAATGTTCGTAACAGGGCATGCGTGCAATTATACAAAGTGTTTCTGAAAGTTACGCCCCTGAAATTTGTACCGCGTTAACTGGAAGGTTCGTTCGAACGCGTCGCTGGCAAAATTGACCTTTGACATTAGCGGAGAGAAATCCGTCTGATGAGAAATCTCTCTCTCTCGCTCTCTCGCTCTCTCTCTCTCTCTCTCTCTCTTTCTCTCTCTCTCTCTCTCTCTCTCTCTCTGTCTCTCATGGTCTCTCGATACTACTTGTCGTGGAAATCAACAATGTTACATACAGAGACGGGCCGAGTTCGGTCTATTTACGGCAGATGAAAGGAAGAATAAAATTCGCCTATCAAAAGGATAGAGATTGGGGAAAGGTTAGAGGCGCTATTCCCTGTGATTTCGCACAAAAGCGCCGGGGGTCGCGCTCGATGGACGGTAAAAACCATTCTCTTCGGTGAACCGAGCGATATAAGAGACATTTTATGAATAGACAAGCGCGGTTTGATTCTTACAAAAGTTTCAAACGCCGAAAGGACAAAAAAAATTGCACTCGAGCAGAGGTCTCGAGGATCGTTTCAATAATAATTCGAGACAGCCTTTTTTAACGGCAAGGACGCGCCAAGTACTTTGGATTTGACCGAAGGCCTCGTCTTCGAGACGCCCTGCTGACTTCGTTCGCGAGGCTTTCATAAAACCTGAACGCGGGATTATTCGCGATTTAATCTGTAAATGGGAATAGAATAGAAAAAATTGATGAAAACGAGAATCGAAGCGAGCCGCGGGAAATTGATAGGCGTAGGCGGTCGAGGGCATTTCGAAGCTAAATACGTTTTTCAATAGAAAGTTATATTTTTATTTTTAGAGGCATTATCAACATTCTGTGCAAGGTCGCCTACGATTAAACTCGTCTACAAAGTCTGCTTTCCAGACGGTCTCGTTGAATATTTATGACCTTGAATGACCTGGTACGATAGGTCGTAGAACTGTCCTTTTAAAAAAAGCGGCGTTGACTTTGAAACGACCTTGACCTTTAATCTATCGATTTTTTTTACCAATGCCACCAATCTTCGAACGAGCGCAGCTACAATGTTCGTGATAAGCGAACGCTCGCTAGATGGCAAGATAAAGATATTATTTCTGTCGTTCCAACAATTTCAACGAGGATACGAAAATAAGTATTATCATTTAAAGTTCGGGATACGCAGATTCCAATCATCTAAATACAAAATTTTTGTTTTACACAATATTTCGAGGTACATATCCCGAACAGGCAGCACATTAATCTTTGGCGAATAAGCAAATGAATGCGAGAGGCTATTATGCTGCTGGCATAAAATTAGAACAATCGTTCGGACGATCACGAACCGGCACCGGATATTGTTCCGCGGATTCGAATTAATCAAACGGAGAGAAACGAACCCGCACCAGTATATTCCCGTCCCTCAATGGCCAGGGCAGCGATGGAATTTGGAACGCTTCGAATTACCTCGATAAAATGGCGAAAAAATCAGAAAATCCTGGTCGTGTATTGGTCATCTTGATTCTCTTGTAAGTTTTATTTATAAATAAATATTCAATGTTTTACATACTTACATTATACGATCGAGATTACCAGAACGATCAAGAGTTTCTAAACATCGTATTCGAATCGCTTTGGCTGTGCCGCAACATACAATAAGATTCAAAGTCCCACCACTAGGCCAGAGTAAACGTCTGTGACGTCAAAGAACATTAGGAGAAGTTGCCGTCACAATATGCACATGTACAGTGACGCAAGCGAAAGATTTCTCCGGGCGACGAAAGGAGGGGCATGGACGTGTTCGGGGAGTCTCGTCCAACGTTGACCTTCTCAGAGGATCCACATGTTCCGCATTCAACTTACGACAAACGAAAAGAACCTAGTTTTACGATCGTATTGTCCGATACGCAACATCTGAAACTCTTTACGACGTTAGAAAGGGTAGAAGCGACGCTAGAAACTTAACAAACCCTTAACTTTGGTGAAATGGCACAAATAAATTCAAACGTGTACGTACAATAGTTTAATGTAATTATATTGTGTCAGAGGGAACATAAATGTGGTTTGATATTCAGGTTTACATTCTACGGAGAGTAGGTCAAGTACTGATTAGGTCTTGGTTCAATACGTCTTAACATCGTGTACAAATTCCGTAAATTTCCCTCGACAAATTTAACACGGGTCTGTAGTTTCTGTCCTAAAAGAAAGCAAGGTATTGTTATGTAGGAAAGTGTTGACAATTTATTTTTCGTTTCAAGATCGTATCGAAGCGACGCGTTGCAACGCGACCGTGTGCATTCGTTTCTGTTAATTTCTTTATTGGATTTCCGATCGTATCGTATTACGCAACAAGGGATTAAATAATTTTTGCGACAATTTCTATTATGAAAGAATGGACATTCTATCGGGCTCGTTGTTGAAACGAGGAACTAATCTATAAAGATCGAATGCGGTCAGGCGGCAATAATCGGTGCGTTATTTTCATTGAACCGCCGGATATGTCGTATCCGGCACTCGAATACCGCACCGTTGCGAATAATTTAGCGTGCAACATCGAGAGGAAACATCATAGGAAAACGCATACTTTTAGGCGGTGCTCGTTTGCATACTCGAGCTCAATTTGAAAGCTTTCTGAATATGAAAGGGTTCAAATATTCGTACAGAAATTTTATAATACGTTTCCGTTCAACAATTTCAGGTGGATTCAGCGTCGGCGAACCGATCTATTTCGAGCCAATTTCCGGGACAATGAACGAACAATAAAACTGAGAATCTGCCCGCACGGTTAAAGCGATCTCATTGTCCCTTTTCTCTTACGTGCACCGCGGCGCGTTCGTTAATCCTTTGGTTCGCCTGTCTTCACTGCATTTGGGTCTTCCACTTCGTATCCGTGCGGGGATATTGGATTTAGCACGGGATTGTGGAAGAAGGTGTGTACGCCGTTGCCCCATGGGAAAGGCTATCGAAGAGAAATATTAATAAATCACCAGCGATGAGACGAGGGTGTCGTAATCGATCTCCACAATATTATCAAACGCGACGATACTTAATCCTCAATTAATTATTTTATTATGCGCTGCCTTTCAGAATAGTTCGTTACGCGAATCTCGCGTTCCTAAGTTTCCGATATACACGTTTTAAAAAGATAAATTAGTAACGTCGTACGGAATCGTTGGAACGGAGATTGTTAGAATAAAAAAAAAACGGAAGAAGACGTGTAACTGAGGCCGAAAGAACGAAGAAAGAAAAAAAATATCATATTCCTGCGACAAAGAAGGCGGTCGTAGTCGGTAAGACTTCATTAATCGATTATGACGAGTGAAGCACAAACGGATTACGGTTTCCGAGATGCGCGGAACAACATGCTTCGTTGGAAGGAAGTGTCGGTTTAAAACTTGTACTCGTCGCGTAGAAATAAATGTATACAGTCAATTGATTCTAATTAACAGAGAACATGTTTTCGAAAGTTATTGCTCTTTTACCGTGGAAGGAATGCGCGCCAATTAGTGGCCGAATCTTGCGCTACTTCGTTATTATATCATTATCTTATTAGATCAATTACTTCATTATCTTTCTCCATGATAAAATTCACGTTCAACTGCTTTCTAGAGGTTTCCACTGAGATGTTTTCACAATATACGCGATTATTATAACAACGAGAAATCGTTTCCTCGGCCACTAACTGAAAGGATTTCTGTCCCAAAGGAAAATCAGCCGCTGTGAATATCGAAATGGCAAAAATAACAACGATCGTACGTAAAACGATGAAAATCCTTTCATAGCGTACTAACCAGCGTTCTTTCCATGCGGAATCCGTTTGGCTCGCGGAAAGAATGCCGGTGCACGGCTGGCTAAAATCTTTGCAGAATGAAACGAAAAGGGGGCACCTTAATTATTCGACGCAGGTACGGAACGTCCACGAACTCGGGTCTGGGTTGTTTTTTGTTTTCCATTTCTCTTCTGTAAACGAAGAACGACGTGACTATTAATGCCGGCATCGCCACGAAAAACACCAGGAAACGCCAGAATCTTTCCTTCTGCGAGTCTGCATTCGTACAAACATGGTCGCGTCGTTACTTCGTCTCGTCGCCAATTACCAGAGATAAAAATTCAACTCTGCGTGCTTCCCAACTCTTGGATGAATACCCCCAAAGAATTACAGTAATTTGAAACAATAGTAAATCTATAAGTGCACAGAAAAAATAAAACAATTAATTGTATCGGGCCCGATGATGAGCCCAGGTCATTCGTCGAAAGATTTTTTTGTACAGGACGCCAAACGGAGCGATCCATAAACTTTTCCAGCACATTTCCCAGGTCACTTTAGACCAAAAAGGTCATATCCATTATAAGTCTATTTCTATCCGTTATCGAGATAAGCATTGTTTAACCTTGACGTCAAGCGTGACGGTATTCACTAGCTATGGGCGAAGACGTAGATGGCCTATAATGCTCGAGTCTACTTCCCGTCTCAACTACACTCAACTTTTATTCACGATATCGAGTCGTGTTTTGATACGCGGAAACCGCTAATATTTTATTCGTATCTGATTCTAGTAGCGGCGAGAGAAAACCAACGTGGTCGGATATCAACGACGGCTACCCAAACCGCAAAGTTTCTCGTCGCTTCGCGTGTTAGGACATTTCAATGGATACGGACGTTGAAACGTGATATTTTTCAAACACGTCTATTAAATAATAACGAAACTCGTGTCTAGTCTATAAAACAATGATTTTGGACGATTCAAAAATGTGTGTCAACGGGTCATTCTACCTCGCTGTTTGCGTCCTTACAAATTAATGTTCCTCTATTGTAATACGTTGTTCGTTCCCGATTCTTTGCAACAACTGAAATAAAACATTCGATGAAGGTACTGTTCGATGTTGAGTTGGCACCGTTTCCGTGCAAACAATCTCGGTCCAACTCGCGTGCACCGTTCGTCAAAAGTCACGTTTCGCAACGAGTACGAATTGCGTTTGCAGACGAAAGGCTGCCAATTTACAACATCTTTAGATTTTATATGCAAAAGTGATGAGACGCAACGAGAAACAAAAGAATTGTTGATTCACAGTGTACACGAGATTCTCGATTCGGAATGACCTGGCAAACATGCTGTTAAACTATATCGGTTATCTAGCGTGATAACTTGTATATATATACACATCTATTAGCAGATATGGTATCGCGATGGCACATTATAAACGTGCCGGGAAAATGGATTGCAATAAAAAGAATACGTTCCTCGAGGGTAACAACATAATCATTCAATTATTGATTAGAGAAAAACATAGATAAAGGACAGTAGTAGAAATTAGCCCATTTCGGCCTTGAGGGAAGATTCTTGTACAATAGCTTTAAAAATAACCGTTACGAATTGTTTTTTAACTATTTCTAGATTTATCCATCTTCGACCCAATAAATCCGGACTCATCAGTGGATGGTCGATAGTCGAAGTGCGAGAAAAAATCGTACAGGAACTTTTAGGGAATCATTGGAAAAAGGAGACTCTACCCTACAAGTACGCTGGAAAACCGATCGCGAGAAAAATTTTCTAGGAAGAAGTATCCTATTCATTTTGAAATCCGTTGTACCGGCGTTAATAATAAATTTTCTCCAGGTGCACGGAGACATTTTCGAACCAGTGTATATTGAGAAGAGGATAGCTTTCTTGAAGAACCGATAGTGTTACCTGCGGTGTCGCAGTAATCATCCACGTTCATGCAACGAAAACGGTTCTTTGGGTCTGCGGACTCGATAGGAGGACAGGACTCGTCGCAAGGATGCTCGACCGACGTGGTGCACGTAGTCGATGGCTCGGAACATTCTTCAACGGGAAAGCTCGTGAAAAAGCCCGTGTCAGACTCCGTTTTCGAGCATTGGTTCTTGGAAGGTTCCTGGTGTGCGGATGTCGTTTGATCGCGACACCCATCTGACGGCGATTTTTTGTTGCAGGAGCTATCCTCGGAGGAAAAATGATTGCAAAGAGTATCGCGACGGGACGTCGTTCTACATAAGACGCCCTTCTCCGAGTTCCCACACGACGAGAACTTCCTGCAAGCCGGATTGTTCGCGAAGGAATAAATGTTCGTCGTCGGATGCGATAACTTCCTCGTGCACAGACCGACGTATCCTACCGAAGGACAAATTGCCTTGGAGAACTTCCAAGTGTGGTAAATCGTCGCCAAAGCGAACTGCAAGGGAATCGACGTTCCCTTGCCGAGCAAGAAAACCCTTCTTCCGGGGCAATTCTTCGATTCGATTCGTCGTTGGCGTTCGACTATGAAAGCGTTCCTCGATGATACACCGTCAGATACATTTCCCGCTGAAACCAATTTTCAAATGACGCCAACGTGCTCGATTGGAAAGCGTTAAGATTATAAAAGTTCTCAGTGTCGATACCGTTAGGGGCTTGCAATCGTGAAACGCGTTCCTTTTAGACTAGTCAGATTAGATTAAAATTAAAGTAAACGAAAACTCAACGTTTCGCTAGCGCTAAATAATACACGGGAAATTCTCTGTTTATTTGAGAACTGTTTTAAGAGGATCAATTGTACCTCCGTTTATCGTTAACAATTTTCTTCCCAACGATTCGCGTCTCCAAACGTCTTCAATCGGAATCTTCAGCTTCATCGACGAAGAAAGCAATACGTTGCTGGCATTTGCAACGCGTGACGCCAACGAGATATTTAACCTACGCGAGAGATAGACCATCGCCATATTGCATTTTGTTTTATCGTGTCGGTTTGCGAATAAGGTCGCGTTCCGGTTTTAATTCATTTTTTTTTTTTTTTCTTTCAAAGGAAACTGCGCGAGGTGTCATCAACTCGAGGACGCGATGTTTAAATCCCGATCGCGATGCACGCGGACTCTTTTCTCACGGAATACGTTTCAGTAATTTTTCATACCTCGACTACAGGCTTTCCTCCCCTCTCTCCAAATGTAACATAACAAATCGATTCAACTCGTCAAGCTGAAAAGTTGTTTGTACTTGGAAAATCACAATTTTTGGAATTTTTCAAAATAGAAAGCATGCGATGTTACAAATTAGATAACGTTAGTAATTTTCTAGATACTTTGGTATACCAAACAGTACTCCAAATGCAATTCCTCTGCGTCACATTCGATTTGGGGAGCAAGTCGACGACACTATCATTTTGTTTCTCGTACAACTATGATCGTGAATCGCGTTGCTCCCGTCGTATCTAATTGCTTCCATTTGGTATGTCAAGGTCGCGTATTTCGTTAAATTTTCTCGTTTCATTTTCCAGAACGAAGCAGGAACGCTCCTTTCGCGTTATCTCGATTTCGTGACTAGAGTCGGACTTCCTGTGGACGAACGTAGCTTGTATGACGTTTGTAAAACGACCGTATTTATAGCAATCTTTCCGCTCTTCCGTCTGTATTCGCTGCGAAGTTTTGTACTCGGTTTCGCGGAATATACGTGGTGCGATTCGAGCAATCAACACGCGATCTCTCCAGGTACGTGCGTACAATATTATCGATCGACTTTATTTATTCGTTTGTTGCCTATTAATGAAAAGAGCAGTCCATCGATAATAATATTCGATATATAAATAAACAGAGATTATCTCAGGTTTCTAATTGACGCGTAGAACTCGACGTGTTGTAAAATATCAGAACACGTAACGTGGCAGTTAATTAATTCGCGCAAGAGTAATAAATTGGCTAGGATTCTGTGTTTTTCCAGAAACATCGATCGTAATATCAGATAAATGAACAATTTCAAGGCGCAGGCGAATTAGTGTGTTGTATAAAAATTTAATAATAGATACGTTTCTAAAGCGACGAGAGACACGGATAATAAGACCAAGAACTTTAAAAGCTATTCCAGCTATATTGTAGCAATGCTCGTTAAATGCGAAAAATGAGGTAAATAAAGTGCCAAGGGCCCTTATGCCATTTACACTGGTTAGAGACACCGAACTCAAAACATAATTATGACGTGTAATCTCTTTTTTTTTCTTTAAAACACATTATATGACGTTTCGGGAAATTAAATTGGTATATTTCAAATTTTATGCGTCAGCCAAATCGATAAACTTCGTTTTTCTCGTACGACTTTTATCTTTGTCGATCTGAGGAGGACAAATGCACTAATTGTACACGATGACCCAATATTTTTCTTAACTCTACGGTATTTCTAAATATTTTGAGAAGAAATTCTTACACGCGATCATTATAAATTTCTACGAAATAAGATTAATGGATCCGTGAGACATCTCGTGGGAATAAATCTATAGCAGGACAAATGGGACAATGTGTAGCTTAAAATGTGTTTTATCGAAGCGCCAGAGTGTCTGGGATCGGTAGAGAGTAGTAAACACGTAGTCGATCGTATATCACACCCTTGCTAACAAGCGCGATACTGGGAAAATTATTTTCTCGTTAGTTTTTCCTCCCACGCGTTTCAAAAGAAATTCACGATCGCGGTTCGTGCAAATAAAGTAGTTCAAGAGGCACTTTCCTCGCCAATAACACTCTACAAATTAATTTATTCCATTCGTGCGTTTACATTTTGCGCTTTTCTTAATTCTCATATAAAACCGGATGGATCGATACGATATCGGCGGTTACTGCAATTCATATTTTATTACGCGTACGAACAGTACGCAGCAATCACCGATGACTAACGAGTTCGATCTCGTTGATAAAAAGGTTTTAAATATTGAAAATTCCTGTATGAAAATTTTCTTCCTTGCGAAACGATCGCTTCGTTCGTACAAGCCGACTACGCGACTAAAATGGAACGATGCATCGCGATATATAAATCACATGCGACGTACAACGTCTAGGGGAACTTCTTGCAGTAATTCATTCGATTACTCAAGAAATTGGCTAAAGATTAATAGAATCTGCTATGCTAGCTCAGCTTTTGGTGAAAAAGTCTCGGAATCAGTTACAGGAAAATACCCAATTAAAAATGAATTTAACGAACATCGCGTAAAGCTGACAAATGGAGAAAAATATTGTATTTTTCCGTTGCAACTGGTTGAACGTTCGCTGGTCCATCGATAGAAGTGAAGTATAGTTTTCAATGACATCGTCCAAGTATCGAAAGTGCAGAATGGCACGCAAAGCAGCAGAGTTATGAAAGAACCGATGACAGTAATTTAATGTCGCATGCACGAAGGACTCTCGAGATCCATTTCTTTCAATAAATCCATTCCTTCGCGAAACCCGTAATATATTAAGTTCGCCAAGTAACTCCGAACTCCTTTGACATTATCGTACAAATTCCAAGGAAGTCCTCTCGTTCGTTTTACAATTTTTACGACTCCCGTAAAACTTAAAGTTCAAGGAGTACGCTATTCCCGTGCGTTCTCAAACATCGCGAGGATAGAGGGAGGAATATTTGAAGTAATGTCCTATCGAGAAGGTGGTCAAATTCGAGAAAATTAAAAAATTTCAAATCGTTCTAAAAAAATTATTTTTAGTTGTGGGAGTCAATTACAATCATTTTCTATGAATAGACAAACCCTCGAAATCTTACGCAGTTTTGAGAAAAAAATTCCTTACCGAAAATACAATTTCTGGCTAGAAAAGTTTGCCCGAAATTTCATGCAAATCTTTAAACCATCATAACTCCTGAACAGATTGGACGATTTTAATGTTTCAAAATGCAAACGACGCGTATTTTAGTGAAGAATATGTACAAATCGCAAAAATATTCGAAAAGTTGATCCTTGACCCCATAAAATGAAAAAAACCCCATAAAAATGGTTCAATTTTCAAATGGCCATAACTCCTATAATAGCGAACATATTTCAATGAAACTTTTTTCGGGAGTAGAACTCACGGTTACCTACAAAAAAGTATTAGACAACTTTTCTATAAGGCGTCAAACAAAATTATTAAAAATCAAAAACGAATTTTTAAAAAAAATCGACAGGCGAAATTGAAAAATCTCAAATCATTCTGGAAAAATTATTTTCGATTGCAGGGGTCAATTACAACCATTTTTGGCCAATAGACATAATTCCGAAATACTACCCACTTTCGAGAAAAAAATTCGAACAGGTGTAAAATTTTTCGGCGAAAAGAAAAAATTTCAAATCGTTCTAAAAAAATTATTTTCAATCGCAGGGATCAATTGCAATCATTTTTGGTGAATACATATACCCCCGAAATCCCACGTACTTTCGAGAAAAAAATTCGAGTATGTGTAAAATTTTTCGTCGAAAAAAAAAATTTCAAATCGTTCTGAAAAAATTATTTTTAGTTGCAAGGGTCAATTACAATCATTTTTTGTGAATAGACATATCCCCGAAATCCTACGCACTTTCGAGAACAAAATTCCTTACCGAAAATCTAATGTCTGGCTAGAAATAATAAATTTTTCCCAAGGGTGGCCGAACAACCTGTTTATATTTACCTATAAGAAGAACCTCGTTGATAAATTATGCGGCCGTCGTTTTCTTCGTTCTAGAAGCGACAATGCTCCAACATTAAAGAGAAATAACAGCGTTGCTCGCTTACGTGAAAATAATCCACTGGAACTGGCGAGACTCGAGAAGTGAAATTACCAAGCGACGAAAAATGAAAGCAACAATTGGACTCTAACAATAGAGCTGGAGCAAGGAAGTAGAGTTCTGAGAATAGACCTGTCGATAGAGCAGACACTAAAGACACTTAGACGCGTCACTGATTCAACGGATATAGCGCGAATGAACTGCGATTATAAATCAATCGACGAATTTAATAAACGGTACCAAATTTATACATTCAGAGTAAACACGATCGGTAAATAGGACATCGTATTAATTTACGCGATAATACACACCGTGTTTCCAAGATAGACCCAGTTCTGAGATCACGGATTTTCAGAAGCATCGACGCTAATTAATGGCACACAATTAGCTTCGAGCCTCGTAGCTTCTATAAATTGGGCAATGAAAATCTACCGCAAATAAGATCACTATCCTCGTCCTATTTGAAATGTATCGATTACAATTCTGGAAACAGAACCCGTGGCACACGTATATAAAATCATGAGAGTATCAAATTATTTACAAACAGTGTGACCGAATGTTTCGAAAATTTGTGTAGGCTATTTTAAGGCGCAAAAACAACAAAACATTCTGGCAGTTTTTTTCTTTAAATAATGTACAACGTTTTACCTTTATAGAGCGTACTCAAAATTGCCATCCTCAATAGTATTTTCAATCTTTCAAAAATTCAAGCTGTTTATCGAATTCGAGCCTTATTTTTTAAACAAACCTGTGTTCAAGAGGCATTCGTGTATTCTCTGAAACGTTCTCTTATCTAGCAGACGTCTATTGGGAAAACGATTTGCATACAGACGTCTTGCCTCTGCTGAATTACATTCAGCAAGTCCATACATCAAATATTGTCAACCATTTCCTGGTTTGAATACTTATTCATTGTTTCTTCTAATGTGCAATAATTAATGAATTATTAAGTGCTCTTTTCAGAGGAGTTAACTAGTCTCGGTCCTAGAACAAAATAGTTAACAAGATCGAAAGATAGTAAGACGCTCCTGAACGTTATGTAACTGAGAAAATGAACAATCAAGTTTCATTAGAAGTAAAAGTGTCGAAATAGTAATTACACGGGAAATCAGATAAAAGGAATGTTTTAGAATGAAAACATTCGGACGTGTCTCCGCAAGCAAATTGGGATTCCAACGAAGCAGACGGCGGGAGGTTGTGAAGTTAAACGATGGGGCTGAATACTTAGATGAAGTAGAAGTAGAGAATCCGGTCGACGAGTAGGAGGTCGTTGGGCAGAGACAGATGAAGCAGTAGAGTCGAGCGAAGAGCATGATCCTCTCGATGAAGTTAGTTGAGTGAGAGGACTGTTAGGTAATTGATGCATTGAAGTAGAAGAGTGACCAGTAGTCAGTGTAAGGAAGTAAAACGAGTGACATTTAGTTTTGTTTATTATTTTATCGAACGAAGTGGAAAGGACTTGAGTTTATCGAGAAAATCCGTGAAAGTTTGAGAAACGTTGTTATAGAGTACTGTGAGAGCATCGTTTTCATTCGTTTGGAAATAATTTAAAAACGCTTGGAGTTCTCCGATCACGGAGGACCAGGCTGTGGTCGGGGAACCTCGACGATCGAGGGACGCGTAATGGAAATGACGATAATCATTCATCGACGATAGAGCAGGAAGAATCGGATCGGGTTCGCCGGGTGGCTCCTGGAAAACGGGGATACGTCGATGCGCCTTGCGCGGCAACCTTTGACATTTCGAGAGGACGGGTCGAAGTTTCCACCCTCTCCTGGCCTAGGTGCCCGTAGATATACCCCGTTTCCCAGCAGCCCGACATCCGGCTGAAAACGTGTATACATACATCGAGCGAAGAAGGCGGGGCCGGGTGGTGAAACGCTCCTGAAAAACCGAGGAGTTTTCGCGCGGGGATGCAGGGTAGTCTTTTTTTTTTCTCCATTCAGAAGGGAGATCGTAATTGGAAAGTCGCGCTAAAATCCTTCGGCTACCAACGAAATTAGGAACCCGGTACCAAGGAGGAACTAGGTCGATGAAAACTTTCTTTGCCCTTTCATTTTTTTTTAACGAACGTTCCAATTTACGTGTAATTGCGCGACGAACACCACGGGGCCACGAAATTCTCCAAACTGGCGGCCACCATTTTGGTCACCAAAGTTCACAAAATATCGAGAACGGTACCATACGCGCCTGTCGCGATTGCTCCTTCGTTATTTTTAATGATTCGGTAGATTTCACGGGTCGTTTCTGCCCGAAGGTTCGACGAGATCACCTTTAGCTTTTTACGACAAACCCCGTAACCTTTTCCAACCTATTCTGCACCGAGTACTGATACGAACTCGTAAAGTAGATGTAAAATATTTTTGCTCCGTCTGGAGCAGATCTCGCTTTCTTCGACGTTATAACACTTAACGACGTTATTACATTTACACGATATAGTACAACTGTCTTACCAATCTCACAAATAGCGTTCAAGAAACGAATAATTTTCTTATAAACTTTCTCCTGTTGGTGTACTGCGGCATTAGTCACGGTCGATTCTTGAAACGAACAAATAAATCTTCCGTGGTATCTCATCGCGATCTAGGAACACCGTGAAACTTTATACAAATTTTTAATATAAGATGAACAAAATTTTTTAAAAGACAGCTACGCCACAAATGTTTTAATACATCAAAAACTGCCAGAGAGACAATATCTCCTGTTCGTCGCTCTGTGTAATTTTTCAATCATCTTTCTCCTATTGTGTAACCGGTGTTACTCATAGTCAACTACTAATCTCGAAATAAGTGAAATCTTTTACGATGTATGCGTTGAAACATCAAACATTCTGTCTCTACAAAGATATTAGTTATTTAATTAACAATTATTAATTTATAGTTTTAAAGTTACTTTCTTTTGAACATCCATCCAATGTTATTTGTAACAGAAGCAGAATGAAAAGTAATGAATAAGGAATTGTTATCTTCTGAGAGCTTGAGGACCTCCACCAGCACGTTCGTGGACCCCCAGGGATTCACAAACCTCAATTTAAGAAACAGTGTACTCTACTGTTCCCATTTTAGACATGCATTCTTTACGTTCTAACGATCGTGCTCCAAAATGTCCATCGGCAAAGGGTCAATCGGTAAATCCGTGCCACGTACGCATTAGATCGATTCTCGGAAAACTCAATTAACGCGCCAGCTTTACCGCCACCGCAAATTGCAACTGCACAATGTGCAAACGGCGGAGCCAGGTTTCCAGGTATCGAAATATCATCCGCGAATGAACTCTGTTTATCAGCTCTTATATCCGTGGCTCGAAAGCAAACAGAGGAAGCGTATCTCTTTCGAAGTGTTTCGACGTTTGGAAACTGGAACGATTTCGGTTGCAATGTAGCAGAAGAAAGCGCGATAATATAAAGTTCCAATCGAAGGAACTGCCTATAAATAACGGGTCTCCGATCTTCTAATCAACCAGGCTCTCACGAACGAGACTGGAAAGGAAAAAAAGAGAGAATATCGATGAATTATTTTTAGAGTTGAAGTTTCCGGGACTAAAAGCCATAAGAGTTCAGCGAACCTTCCGATATTGACTCCGCGGTATAGATTTTATAAGAGGATTTACATTGCCCTGATTACGAGCTATCGTATGACTGCATTGCATTACCTCCCTTTACGGTTCATTATCAGCAAAGTGCATTACACTGACATTGAGGTGTATTATACAGTGGCGCAACCAGAAATTTAGGAACGGCGATGCAACTGAAAATGGACAGAAACAAATTCGTCAGGATACATTTTGATGTTTCGAAAAATTTGATTACTTACATATAGTTCCCGAAGATATTCTCGTCTGAGTTTTATTCTTCTCTTGTTGCGTATAATTAAATTTTAATAGTTAAGAAATGAATATTTGTAACAACGAGGTAGAAACTGCTCCCTTGCACCACCTCTGGGTGCGCCACTGATTATAGGCTATTCTTGTACATTGAATCTCTGGTAAGCTTAATGAACACCATTACCGGTAAAAATTGATCGAATTATTCCACCTTAATAGCGTTTTTATGGTTGTCAAAAATAGTAGTAGAGAATATAGATAGATTAAGAAAACTGAGGTAGCAGTGAACGTTTTAATAGACATGCCCAAATGGTCTTAAAACGTGTATTTCCATAAAAAACTATTTTAACACTCTCCTTTCTTGTAAATCGATAAACAAAAATACCGTATAATAAACGTCATCTATTTGCAGAATACAATTTTGTCCATTTCTGTCGTGAAACAATTGAAACGTAAAGGTATATGTCAAAGATCTGCGGCCAGGCAGATTTGAATTCGATCGATCTTCCAATTTGTTGACGTCACTAGTTACGTCATATAGACAAAGATGGAGAACGTCTGGTGAAACGTCAGCGACGCAGCGGGGTTTTCTAATTCTAAGACCTCAAACGCTGATTCGATATAACAAAAATAAACAACTGGATTAGCGTTGATCTGCGTGATGCATAGCGCACGATTTTCAACAAATATTCATTACCTTCTTTTCTGCATAAAAGTTAAATTTTCTGTTCCATCAACCTTGAATACAATATCTCGGATTATATGTCCAGATCTCTATCCTGTCGAATAAAAATATTCTGCAAACTTTTTCATATTCGTTAACACTTTCAAGGATTTATCTCTTTCTCGTGAAGATTGTTGTTATTCGATCCGTCGGACATAATTACATACACATAATCAATTTTCTAGTTATTATACGATAACGCTACAACATAAATAATTGCATAGAAAAACAAACGAGAAGAACGGTGAATAGCGATGGATTTAAAAAGGATCAATGTTGTTTGGACTGGTTTCTAGACGCTTATGACAGTAAACATTATGGCGGGGCCTCGTTCTAATTACGTACTTTTAAAGACGCGGCGAATAAGAAAACTAATCGAACGGAAGAGCAAAGTATTTCCCGACTACGATAAATAGTTTCTCGAAAATAAAGAAACATTGTTTACAATTTATGAAAAATTTCTTGCGCGCGATGAAATACATTTACATAATATTTCATCGATTATATTCGATAATAACGCACAGTTATAAAGCAGCATTTGTTCCATCACCAACAAAAGACCGTCTACTTCTGATCGTTACATAAAATCAGGATCTTCGGTGCATAGAAATAGATAATTCGCATCTAGCCAACAATCTGTGTTTTTGTATAACCGGAAGTACGTAGTTGGCAATAGATCCGATTGTTAAATTCTTTGAAAAACGAAATCGATCATGGTACGGTGTGTCGCGTGCGGCATGCATGCACATACATACCAATTCAGGTACAGAATTCAACCAGTCCTCTTGTTTCATCGGTTCACTTGTATAATAGCGTTCACATATGCACACATACAAACGCGAGCAATCATACGCAACTACCGCGATTATCCCATTGCGAGGTGTCTATCGTTTTTGTCTGGTTAATCCTAACAGAGATAGAGAAAAAATATGGAGCATCTCTTCCTCAATCAGTAAAGCAGATTCAACCAGTTCTATGATACGAGTATCGATGCACTTGTTCCCGCGTGTGCAGTGATCCAATTTAACGAGGTAACTAGTCATTTCTAGACATTTTCGATTGCTCGAAACAGTCAACAATTATAGACACGCCAACCCGTCGAGCGTAACGATTATCAATCGGAAATTGCTTGGCATTCGAACGCGTGCGATGAGGTAGTTGTGACGAAGTTTTTTATCAGAATGTTTTCTCAATACGCATATCGCCTTAACAGCTGTTATTTTCATTTTTTGTGTAGTTGCAGCCCTGTTTTCGGATAAGGTTCGTAGCGTCGCCACCAGAGCGCGGCATCGGCAACTCAATAAAATCCAAAGAGCGCCGGACGGGCGGTGTTCCGCGAAGCGTGATGAGTTTGACAGCTCCCGCGTACTGAACGTCGTTCAAAAGTGAAAAATAAATCAATCAAAAGATGCGACCGAAAAGAGGTCCTTAACACGTTTCCGTATGCATCCACGCAAGACCGTCTAATATGGCAGAATGGTTCGGCATAGAATTATCACGCTGATACTCTTTCTGGCAGGTAAGAAGCGAGAGATTCGTTCAGGCGTAAGTGCACCTGCCGATCAATGTGACACTGTATGTTCGGTCTTTGTGCGCTTGTATACGTGCACCGTGCAAATCGGGCTAAGTGCACGATCGTTACGATTCAGGGTCGAGTTATGCAAATTTAACAGAGTATCTTGTTTTTGCACACGTCTAATCTGCCTTTTGAGCGATCTTTATCCTTGCGTTTCGCCAAGTCCATTGATCGCCAGAACGTCGCAACAATTTCTAATTTTTCTATTCGATTTTATAAATTGCACGTTCTGAATACCTCTATGAAATAAATACAACTATTTACAACAAAATATATACCCTTTATGTTAAATTACACGACGCATCGTAAACATCCAAATCGTGAGCGACGAGCGACGGTCACCATATCTGTTGCCCGGACGAGTTTAATATTTTGATACGCTTTGATTCTTTTTTTTTGTTTTTTTTTTAATAATGAATTTACAGACACGCATTTATATTCTATTTATACAATTTTAATAACTTTACAGTTTTCTATTATGTCAAAAATGATTATAAAATTATTTTAAGTTAGTTCACAACAGATCTAGAATAACATTTCCATAGGACATCTTTTAACAAATTGTGCTAACAATTACGTTTTAAAAAAGTATATTAATGAAAAGAAATACTAAAATATATTTAAGTATTTATTATATATTATTTATTTATTAAGTTGTAGTATATTTCTTTAGATTTATATTTATGTTTAATTAAACAGTCTATGTTTAATTGCATTAGTCAAATAATTTATTGTGATATTTAGCATGGCAGGAAGCAGTGACTTTGGTGCCAGTACGTTCTGTTGCTATAGACATTGGTCAGAACTTGACTTTACCATGTGCAGAAGAAGATGCACTACCACACTCAGGAGAATCTGTTGGAATGATGTGGATAAGGGAGGGACGCGAAGATGGACAAATTGAACGACTAAAGGTTGAGCCTAATGGAGCTTTGGAACTTATCAATGTTAGTACAGATGATGCTGGGAACTACTCATGCACTTTGGATGATGATCATGATGCTGTCAAGACTAGAATAAACGTACAAGTTAGAAGTAAGCTGTTAAATTTTTAACAGTTATGGTAAAATAATTTACACTACAGGTATCCCTCGAGTCACGCGGTTAATTGGTTCCGCGTAAGTCGAGGCTCAGAATTAGTCTCTGAAATATTCTATATTTTTTTATTTAAAAACATTCATCTATAATTACATATATATTTTCTTTTTAAATAAAATTGCTCCAAAACCGCGTAACTCGAAATTCGCGTAACTCAAGTATCGCGTAACTCGAGGGATACCTGTATAAAATAATTATAATTTTATTGTATCTTCAGCTCCTCCTCCAGCCTTACACAATGTATGGGTAAAACCATCTACAATATTGGCAAATATTCTTTGGGAAGTAGCTGGCACAGGTGGTTATCCTATCATAGATTTCACTGCCGAATATCGTCTTAAACCGAATGTGGGTGAAGAACCAGAAGACTGGAAGCCTATTGTTCCGACGCACATTCCTCCAAATTCTGTAAATGACCTTTCTCTGAAGCAAAATAAATCGTTTACTATTGGCAACTGTTACTTAAACTTATGGGTTTATAGAGGCAAATTGATGTGTATCACTTGGTGCCAAACACAACGTATTCTTTCCGCGTGTGGGCAACAAATCAGCTAGGAAGAGGGGAAGTTGTTGAAGTTGAAGGTCATACTCATCACAGTATCGAAGAACTAGGTACACAATTTGAACATAGTTACAGTTTGGAATATGAACTGCATGTAAATAATTTAATATTCATACAAAATTATATTATAGCTTATTATTTATAATTGACAATTATTTCAGAACTTGCCAGACATTTCTTAACAGGTGTAGAAAATTTTGACACTCGTGTCTGGGTGGCAGCGGTAGGCATAGTTATGGGTACACTTATGATTCTTGGTATAGGTACTTGTTACCTCCTCTATCGTGAGTGCAAAGTACCCTGTAAGCATTTCCTGGTAACTTTATCTAAGAGCTTTTGCTTCTACTCTTTCTCTTTCATGCTATTTATTTCTGCTGATAATAATCACTTTCTTCCACGCAAATAAACCGACGTAGAATAATGCTACATCATTTAACTTTAAAAATGAATATAAATTCGTAACATACTTATCTAGTGGAGAAGATCCGCAGCAGAAACGATAGCATCACTAACCACTTAACTTATCTATGGCCCTGATCTCTAGCTTTCTTTACATCAGCCATTCTCCCTTCAATCAATTTAGTGCTATTCTAATACAGTGCCAATTATCTTCCACTGATATTTCCCTACTGCAAGCGCTCTGCAAATTTATTAGCGTTTGACGAATTATCTAGTATTTAACTTTAAAAATTTACTAGCATTTAATCAATTTTCTTGCGATACAAATTTAACAATAACACTTTCTTAACTTCTGCACTAAACACTTTACAACATAAGGCACTAAAATAATCTATAACATATTTTTACCTTTTCTATACAGTTTGCCTGTCAGTAGCACCTTTTACACTCCTTATAGGAATGAAACCTGAAACTTATGAATGGACTTCATCAACCACCAAACTTACTATCTGTCTACTAACAAGGAACTTCATTACCCTACCTTTTACTAATTTTGTAAGATACGTTATGTTTCTAATTAATAATAAGCTTTGGTGGTTTGTATAAAATTTGTTATGCAGAATGATTAGTGCCATGAATAGAAAGTATTGTAATAGTAATAGAGCATTATGGCCTAGATAATAATATGTGCTATTAGTAAATCTTTGACTGTATAAAATGTAGGTCAAAGATGGCACATACATTTGCTGGGTAAGCAATGTGTCGATTCGTAATTTCCTAAACAAAAATTTGTTTAATTTACTTGTTCCGTATCAATTACGTGTGATGTACAAATAAAATTTACCTTTAAATTGAAATATTCGATTAATAACAAATAAGATACAAGATATGCACATAGCCCAGCAAAATACTGGTACAAGGGAGAGGGTAGAAGCTAATATAACTCGTGGCCCAGACCAATGAAAATTAATCTCCGTTCCCGAATTGCAGCGCAGCTGGAGGAGCAGGAAGTGATTGAACTTGTTCCCAACATCATTCTGAATCCAGGATTTTTCGACGAAAGAACAGAACACATTCCACAAGACGAAAATTTCAACAACCAAACAACCACACGTTTGAACAATAACAGCGTCGTACAACCTAGGCGACTTTAGCGATTAAATACTTAGGTTTTTGTGGCTTTTTTTATTAACAAGTGGCTTGAGCACAATTTATGTGTCACCTTAAACGTAAGTAACTGGGATTACAAAAGGCCTCGAATCCGTGAAGCGTTGCAATACTTAGAGTCAGGTAAGCGATAAAAGTAACGGCGGTCATCGTGGAAATTAAGCCTGTTTATATTTATAACCAGGAAACTGAGGAACTGACATCGTTCATTCTGAGTGTTCTAAGGAAGCAAATTTTTCACTTACAATACAATGTTAAGTGTTCAAAGCATATGTAAGACTCTGCTAAGTTTTGTGAAACGGAGTAGCATATTTTTGAGAAAGTTTACCAGGATGTTCTACCACTATAATTCGATATGCCATTGCTCATTAATCGAGCTTAAAATAAAGAACTCCTGTAAGCCGAAAAATATTCTTGGTAAGACTGTAATTCTAAGAACGAAAACCGACATTTTTGGGAAACTGAACTCACATGACATTAATAGTGGCAAAACTTCCATCTTACATTCGGCACGAATGTAACGTGTTTTGTACACAATTATTTTTAATCGTTACTATGAAGCATAAACGAAATTTTAATGGACAATATCATACAAGGAGTAAGATTTTGTCAGCAATACAGATCATCCAATGAGAGATTTCGTTAGACATGAGGTACGATAAAGGCTTGCTTACTGCCGTTTTAAGGTGTGCAGAAGTCGTTGGTAAAAAAGTTCCTTTTTTGTGTCTTTACAAAGGTTATTGTTTTTTTATTTATTATTATAAGAATGCGCTTGTTTTTAGAGAATATTTTGGTATATTTTTCCCAAAGAACTTAACGTTACGAAACATTATGCACCGTATGTTCTTTCTGGTAAAATCCTGCGAATCAGAGAGTGTACAATGTACAGACCATAGTACTCTAATTGTAAAGATAATTCTACTATGTTAACGTTATTTATAGCGACATTATATTCCCTATACTTTTAACTTTGCATGTGATCATACAAATAATGTTTAATGCTTCAACATGCTTTTGCACTACTTTAATAACAAATGCAATACTGCTACTGAATTATAATAAGCTGAAAAATCAAATTTCATCAAAAACGAAATCTTACAAAATACAAAATAGCACAATTGCATAAACGATAAGTTTCAGTACATGAAGTTGTAGGAAAACAAAAAATCCATTAGTCTCCGTGATATTCAGCAAATAATCATTACTCGTGGACACTACGCAGTTCGGTTAGGATCACTTCATTCAAGTTAGCAGTAAATATAGAGCAAAAGTAGAATAAGTTAAAATATTTTGGATATCATCTTTGATAGAATCATGTTTGATAATCAATCATTAAAACAGGTCTTTTCCAAGTATTCATTTGTAATGAAACATATTATCATCTACTCAAGTTACATACAAAAATTAACTTAGTCAATGAATAAGGTTGATGATTTTGATAAGAGTTCTTCCTGTACAAAAAAATATACAATTATTTTCCACAATTTACAAGTAGTACCATATCAGAGTTTGTCATTGCATAACATTCATTACTAATAGAAAAGTTATAGTAGCAAGTGTTTAGAGTTGAGATATTTTGTAGGTAAAGAAAAAAGAACAAATTTATTTTAACGATTGCTGTGAATATTTTGAATGATTTTCTTCTCAGAAGAAAAATTAGAATATATGTTATTTTACGTTAATTTCTTTCTCGAATTAATTTCTATTAAAATACTCCAAGTGATGAATATGGAAATGGTTGTGGAAATTGATTCTCGTCTATATTAGTCTTTCACCTGTTATTAGTAAAGCTCATAACGTCAGAAACATAATATCTTAACGATTCTACTTAAAACAATTATGTAAGTCTTGCTTTTGTCAATACGAGAAACTGACAAAAAGCAATTTGGTGCACGCAGGTTGTATAAAAATTGGTTGTGCGTTGTTACATTGAAGCTTTATGATCTGTTCCTCCCTTGTGCATAATCTTATAGGGGTGAACAGATTCAGTTCGGCTTCGTACTATGCACTCTGTGTTGTGAATGGTATATAAATATATACGCGCTAATGAAAATTAATAATATGATAATAATAATAATGATAATGATATAAATATATATATTTATATAGCCGAGGCATCATAATATTTTAGCTATAAGCAAAGACAATTTTTTATATAAATAATAATTATGCTGGAATGCAATGATAATATTTATCTACATATTCATATAGGTAATTTTGTGTTATAATATCGAGCTTCAAGAGTGATCTAGTAGATTTGCTCGTTAAGAGTATTTCATGTAGAATATCATGTTCCTCTTTTCTTTTAAAATGTCATTTTCGAAATTTTTCTTTTAAAAGATTTTTTACAACACGAAATTTTGATCAGTGATATATTCTTAAAAATCAGTACTGCATATGCGACAATTGCAGTCTTTTCCTATAAAGAGATTATTTTTTGTTTAACAAATTATAGTACTTCATGACACGACCGCGTTTCATGCACATTCAGCTACGAATATAATCACCTGTTTCTGCTGACATATATAACAATAGGTGTACTATAAATTAAATGTTTAATTGTCTCTATCAAAGCTATCTGGTGAAGGCATAGGTTTTTCATTTAGTAGCATTAACATGGCGAAGCCTGATGAAAAAAAAGTATAAATGTAACTTGGTGTATGAAATGAAAAATTATTCTTATAACTACCAGCTGCTACAAGAACTAACAATAAAGCTTAGTCTTCTGTGTTTAGGGTTCTGCCATTGCATACAGTAGAAGATCTGCATATCTACCTATGCAATATAGGATGTTCATAAAATGACTTTTATCATGTTAGGAATACAATCATTAAAGTAATATCATTAAAGAGTAAGGTAACGATCACGATTTGTTTTTTAATAATATAATAGTATTTTGTTAATATCATGTGAAATATTTTTTTTTCTTTTTTTTTTTCTTATTAATTAGGTATTTCAAATTGACTGCAATAATAATGTTGAAATCAAAAACACACCACTAAATTTAATTTTGCAATAGAATGTTTTTTATCTTTCTATGCCAAAAAGTTGTTCTGATGCTATAACATTGTAACATAGATATATTTTTATGAGGTAGATGAAGATTATATAAACTAAAATCTATATCTACAGTGATGATGGCAGATATTTTATGTTTATATTACAAGTTACATAAATCCCACAAAAAATTTATAATCTGTCAAATTACTGACTGCAAAATTATTTTTATTTTATCTGACGATTTTTTTGACTTAATTTTGTTCCACATCTAAGATTAGACATCTCTAAAATACAAACGCTATTAAGCACAACGCGTGCATAGCATTGACCATTACACATTAGTAGTTAAAGGTATTGCATTAATATATTTACTTGGCATAGCACACTCATGTGAAATATATACTAAGTAATGCACGATACCATAGAATAGTAATAATGGTTGCCGGTAGCACCAAGAATCGTCCCTAACATACATATTGCCTGCCTATGACATACCAGAGAAAGAAAAACTCAATGTGGTTTTTACAAAAAGCTTTAACTCTTCTCAGTTTCGCATGTAAGATTTTTATATAACATGTATTTACAAACAAAAGCAATTGTAAATACTAACATGTTTTTAAATTCTTTACTTTTTGTAAAAACTACACGTCTGTCATGTCATTGTCTATTAGAGTAATAACATTAATTTTATATCCTTACATTAAGTGATGGTAAAAGAGATTTATAACGATAATTCCAGAAATAATGTTATACGAAATAAGTATTAATCTTTGAATTAGTTTTATGTTAAGTTACCATATTGTGTACTATCTATCACACCCAAAGCGTTTTTGATGATTTCTTTAAGTAAATGTTTGTTCCATAGAAAAACAAAAAGATAGGTAGGAAACGAAATTTGTATATACTATTACACATTATTGTTTTATTTCTATATTTTGTATAAATTGTTAAACATGCACTCTTGATTATATTAGTTTACTTTATTTATGCCAAATATATTGTGTCAGATTATTGTTATTTAAAATCTAATAATACTCCACATACATTTAGAATTATTCTTCATGTTAAATCAGTGTTATTTTAGTTTTTAACTATTGTATGAATTTATTCTATAGCCATTATATGTGGTTATAGTGTTTAGAAAAATGTTTTCCCGATACCAACATATTTACACTTTATTTTATAAATTATAAACAGTGCACATTCCATCACGTACAAAATCTGTATTACGAACAAACAAAATATGAAACTGTGTAATATGCTTGATTTAAAAATTGATTAAATATTTTTGTGGGGCAAAAATAAAGAAAGTCAAGGTTGTGCTTGAATAACTGATACTATCATTAGAGTGTAGCTTTCACACTACAGTTAAAAGATACTAGCTACATATCAGAAAATATAGCGAAAATCGGTTTATTCACTTTTACACTTACATGTAGACACTGATAGTGAGCAATATTTTACAAAATCATTAGAAACGAGTGCTTTATAATGACATTTTCATGAAAATACTTTTCAATATTTATTCTAATTTTTTATCAAAATAATTTATGTATCAAATAATGTTCATTATTAAATTGCAATCAGAATAAGAAATACAAGTAGTATGAGAATTCAAGTATATTTTCGTTAATAGAAGTTCATTACTAGTAGTGATATTTGCATTTTCTTTCTATTATCATAGCAGTGTACATGACCAACATACATAATGATACTGTATGTACTACGTGTAGTTCTAATTCTACATTTTTATCACGATGGTTGTCACGATGGTTGTCGCTATAATCGCCAGGTTTCATATAAGAAATCATACAGATTTATTTATAAAACTCATTAAATATATTGGTATAATAAATAATCATTCGTAACAGATGGCTGTTTCTATTTATTATGATTCATCTATGTTGTTCGATTGCGTTAAAAGTAAGGTTTTTTCAATATTTGAACATAGCTTTTCTATGTCACTAGGTGCAGCATATTCTGCGGCTAAAATAGCATTTGCCACTGCTATTGTTTCTTGAATAGTTCTTGCTTTAACCCATATTCTACCATTCATTCCAGCTGCTAGTTCAAATGCCTGACTATGTGCCAGTTTATTGAACAACGAAAAAGTGGGATTCAATATTTTTCTGATGAGGCTCAAAGAACAATTAAAAAGCATGCCATCTGAAGTCAAAGCACCTAAATTCTTTTCTTTGCCATGAGAATCTACGCATACAAGTTCTGCTTCCATATCTTTACTGGCAACTAGAAGCTTGGCAAAAACAAGATCACCAACTTGTACATCAGGACGATTTTTCTTAGTTGCACCTTCAAATGCAAGATATGAAAGAGATGCATGTTCACTGGCTCCTATATCTACTTTAAAAATGTCACCTGCTTTTTGTGTTATTATACCAACTACATTTTCTCCGCGACTTGGTACGTATCTGTAAATTGTAATTATTTGTTATATAAATAAACGTTTAGCCCATCTCTAGTACAAGGAACTTTGTTAGATAAAATTTAGTTACCGTTTCTGATAACAATCTACATAGTATATGGCTGGATCTCTTTTCTTCAATACGCCTGCTTTATACGCGTAAACTGTATCAACTTCACGACGAAGTCCAGGTCCCAAAACTATCGTTTCCTTTTTCATAACTTCTGCGATATCCTTTACAATATCTCCAGGCATTATTACATCTCCTAAGTTAACTTCCATTGTCTTTTAAAGGTAAATAACTTCTTCGAGTTACAGTATAAATTCGATATTAGCGGTTATAAATGTGTAGCATTTATCGATACATTTTACTAACGCATATTCATAAACAATATCTATTAAAAAGATGTATTATCTCCTAATAGAATTATATTGCCAGTATATTTTGTGAACATAGCTTTTTGGTTACATTACAACCGCCACGTGCGTTTTGTCGTGTGACAAATTCAGTATGCGTTCCAGTGCGTTCTGCTAGCTCTCGCGCGCTCGCTCGAAAATGAGACGCGATTGCGCAGTTATAATTTCCATTAATTGATACACTCGATCGTATAATATTTATTATAAAAATTGTACTTAATTCCAGTTATAAAATAAAGCTTTAATTGAAAGCAGTAATTACTTTCAATGATAACAGTATCAAATTTCAGGTCATTTCTGCAATTGGATCGATCTACGAGTAGAATAATATTGTTGCCGCGCGAACCGATTATGGAGCGATTAATGCAATCCTGGAAATCCCACGCTTATGGGAAACAGTGGCGCCACCACACGACATGTCGCGAGGTTTGCGCGTGAAACGGTACGCCACGGAAATTGTGGTGCTCGTTGTGTTTTTTTCACTGATCAATTTTATTCTGAGACAAGTCGAAAGATCGACAGTCGCGTGGATGGCACAGCGAGATCGTCGAGGGTGTTACTAATGCAAAGGTAACGTTCTACGATATTGTGACATCCATCCACACAAGATTTGCGCACCACTCGCCGGATCGATAATTGATTTGCGTGTATTCTATTCTAACCTACCTTCCCGCTCCCTCCTAAGTTATTAGTTCAATCACGTCATATTGTCGATCGATTCGTTGCTATTTAGCCGAGATTCGACGTTAAACATTTTATGCGATTTTATTACTTTGTTCCGCAGTCATAATAGGGAGGATCTTTATTCAGGTTTCTAAACGTAACCACTGCTGTTGTTATGCATTTACTGTCATTACTGAAACGTGCCTCCTATTCTTGTCGTTGTACAACCACGAAAACTTATGTATAGCTCTTTCTTGAAATTTTTATTCCTTATAAACCTTTAAGTTTAAGCAAAAACTTTACGTGTCAATCTAACAGACATTACTGTTTAATTATACAAGGACAAGGTTGAATTATCATGTAAATATTATTTACAATCACTCATGTAGTAAACATTATTCTTGATTCATTGATTGCCAATATTTTTGTTAACCCTATCTTGAAAACTTTTGGTATCTTATATTTGCAGGTGTAGTACAAGATGTACAATGGTATTGGATTACAGACGCCACGTGGTTCTGGTACCAACGGACACGTCCAAAGGAACTGGGCAATTGTACGCAAAACGAAAGAAAAGGTTACTTACAAAACTGATGAAGGAAAATTAGATCAACTTAATAAGCAACCTAATAAAGAAATTCTTGATCATGTCAGAAAACGAAAAGTTGAAGTTAAATGTGCTGAATTTGCAGATATTCTGGAGGAACAAGGGTAAGCACTATTTTAATTATTTAAATATTATGTAAATTTTGTTGTTATTGCGATACAGTGTCTGCCTTTAACAGATAAAGTAATAAATTTTCTTAAAAAAATAGCATATATAACAAATATAAAGCTTTGCTGACTCCGTGAACCCAATACTAAATGAGATTCTAAACTTCAATTGGATTTAGCTTACCTTTGGCTTCAATATATTCTTCCCACACAGTATAGTTCCTGCATAGGTTGCCATCTACAATGCAACTAATACTAGGATATTTGTTTACTTGGACCTTTGTTATATTTTATAGATTTACGACCGAAGAAGTAAAAAAGAAAGTAGAATCGTACAGATCTATGTTAATGGGAAGCGACGCGAAGCCATCTGTACCTCGCGATGAATTTGGGCGCGTTAAGTAAGTACAGCTTTTGTTCATTATTCATCTTCATCCTAAAATTGTCCACCTTTATAGTCTGTAATATTAACGATTTACGCTAGGTACTAAGTAAAACAAATAAACAAAATAAATTGTCTAATATTAAAATTCCCTTGTAATAATCAATGGCATGTATAATACAACACTGTATTTTTAAGCATGTAAAACGACAGTACGAAAACGAAGAATTAATTTCGGTGACTTCCCTGGTAATCTATCATAGTATCTATATATAGTACATAGATGATACGAGACGACTAGCGTCCGTATCTTATGTGCGCTAGAGCTTGCCTTCAGAAAGATCCACAGGTAAGGTTTTATATGAAAGGGAAGCTACGAATGTTTACTCAACGTCGTGGACGTATCCGGGCCTAAGTTCAAATATTAAAAAAGAGATTCCTCTTTCCAAGATCGTTTTACCTTGATTTACAAAAGGATTCCAATCAAGCAAAAACTTTCGTTCAGCCGTGCCGTCCGGTCTGTTATTTAAATTGTTCCGGTACGCACGAAGATGCTAAAAATTCGCAAGAAATTAAAAATATCAGGGGTGATTCGAGGGGTTTCGAGAGGCAAGAACGGTTTTCACAGCGAACGGTTGTGTAAGTGCAATTCGAGCATCCGCGCCCCTTCGTCGGAACGCAGGTTCCCGCTAAGCCCAATATTATTGGAGGGTGGAGACGGTCGCATTCTCGGGTCAGCTTTTAGGGGTGTTACGCAGCCGATATCGACGTACCCCATGGCGCCGGCGCCACCCACGAAAAGGGAGATACACGGGGGTGGCACGGAATGAGAAACAGAGACGACGGAGGGACCGCGGAGAGGGAGAGAGTTTGTTCCAGCATCCCACTCGACTTTTCCGCCTCAGTGCGAGGATGGACCGGCGTTGCGACGCTGCGCGTCGACGACTCCCGTCGGGTGCACGAATCGTCGGGAAATAATCGAGAGTGCCGAGAGAAAACAAGTAACGAGGGAACATGTAACGTTTACGTGATACATTTGACAAAAAAAAATCACAAAAGTCTTCCACTAGCGTGTAGTCCGTTAACGATATTAGTAATCTTTAAGCTTTAACCGTAAGCGACAAGTAATCGCGTTTAAGTGTAGCCCTAAGGTATCCGAAAGATTCGTCTGAAGAAGATCTTGAATATTTTAATCAACGAGACCTCGATTTTCATTCGATTCAGGCACATAGATACACGCATCCATCGAAATTTTCAAGCAGCAGAAAGAGGCTTGCTAATCGACCGAAGAAACAAGAGAAAGGATTTTATGGGAATTTTACTAACGAGTAAGGAGGATATTCGAAGATAATAGCGAGAAGATCTACACGTGTCGCAGATCGAACGAAAGATTCGTAAGAGGTCAACTTTTTTCTATATAAATCCATGTGTCTCCAGGTCGATAAATCGACGATTACATTAAGATAAACCGTTATACTTTGTCGCCTGTATACGCAGTATACGGCAAGAAGTAAGACGATATAGTGTGCCTGATCTGAAGTCTTCCTTAGTCTGGTTAAGCTAGAATAAGACCGTACATTGCTATATTCTTACACGAGCCACTAAGATATATACGTCTATACGATATAATATACACATAGTGTTTAAAACATAGAACGTATAAGAGAGAATCGTGCAACAGAGAGATTAATCAAGGATACCTTCTCGCTGATGGAGCGGTTCCAAGTTGAGACGAACGTAGAAGAGTAGGGACGATTCAAGGGAGAAACTTGCTTCAACGCTGATTACTCTTGGGAGAGAAACAATCGATCAACGAACTGTGAAGAGACAGGGACAAAAAAAAAGAAGGAGGAACCAGCGAGAAACGAAGCTGACATTTTCATCATCGTTGCCGGATGATTGTTCTTGCGCCGGGACAGCAGAAATTCCGAATAGCAGCAGCGTCGGTGCTGGTGTAATCGGGGGAGGAAGCCATTACCTTCGCCTCCACCCTCGCCCATCCCCCCTTCCGCCCTCCTAAACTATCAAAGCTTCCCTCGAGAAGGGATTAAGCCGCGCCGGGACTACTTGCACAGCGTGCAGCCCGACCGACGGAGCTCCTTAGCGTAAATTAGCGGTCGATCGCGCTTAATGCTCGTCTAATTGCTTGGCTGTTAATTATTCAGGGGCGCAAGATTGTCCTCTGGCTCTCCCGTTGGCCCAACAAATTGGATGCTAAACGAAACGGGACGATTTATTGGCAACAAGACCGGGGAATTTTAGATCATCGTGGACGTCGATGAATTACTATATCGATCGTACAACAATTTGTAAGGGTTTGGAATCTAGGAGATTCGGGAGGAACAAAAATCAACGAGTTACATTTTAATCGAGGGATCAAGAAACGTAATTGTAGGCAGAAAAAGTGAATTTTACAGTACCACGTTTAATATTTTATTTTGGATCCGAGCTAATACGATAAGAGAATCAACGAAGAGGGGGAAGGATCTTTGTGCTATCGGAATCGTAGACTCGACGAATGACTATGTCTGTGACGGTGTCACCGCTGAAACCGGCGCGCGGACGCGGTCCCGCCGATGGTCGCGCCTTTTTCGAAACCCTATGGCGAGGGAACTTTTTCCTGGACCGGCAGAAAGTGATCAAACGGTCCCGGAAACGCAAATTACAAGCGGCGAACGGAAAGAAGCGCGCACAGCTGCAGATGCGACAGCATTGTTGCTGCTGCCAGCGCATACAACTCCACCTCCTCGCCGGACGGCGAAGCAACATGCGCTCCGTCGTCAGGTGAATTTATTCAAGTTTTTTATTGAACACGGCGGTCTAGAATTGAATTTTAGCTAGCGACGAGATTTAGAACGCATCGAATCAATAAAATGGCGGAAGCATTACTTCCAATCTGATTCGAAGCCTTAAAAGTTTAGAAAACCTTGATCGTAGACAGAAAACTTATAAACATTCGATTCACGTTTGATCATTCGATTAGACGCGCCATAGCTTACGAGACACTTAACAAATAAAGATCATGTTTCGCACGCTATTGCCGTAAGTACGATCGTTTGACTTAAAACGTTTCGGAAATAAGCTCTTCAATTGTCTGTGTATTAACCCTAGGTCAACTTGTGCTATATTTATCTTCTGAGGTCATTTTAGATCCGCGTGAATCATTAGAAATTTTTCTTGTCGTTGACACTTGACTTGCACGTGTTTAAATACAAAAAGCTGTAAATGTAGATAATTGATAGAAGTACCAATAATTAGCGTTTAGACTTAGATAGAAATATAGATCTAATTGTTGATAATAGTATTACAGTAATGAATTGAAAATTGAATGTTTCGATGTCACAAGATGAAGGCACGGGCCAAGTTTATCGATAAATCTGGGTTAATACTCAATGTTTGCATTAGAAGAGTAACTAGTGAAATTGGATACCTCTGACCACAGATTATCGTCCCCATTTGATCTGCCAGGATATCTGATACATCTAATGGCATTCACTTTGATAGAAATTGAGAAAACAGATTCACGTATATCTTCAGAAATTTCACAATTATATATAGACTTATCTTGTGATTTAAAAAGGAGTCTTTTAATAGATTTAAGAAAGGTGTCTTGATATCTGGTAGAAGTAGTGTTTAAAGCTGCTGAAAAATTTAAATTCTGCGGAGGATCGGTGGGGAAACAAGGGCTAGATGGATTTAAAAGGCAAACAACCTTCCTCTGTATGCTAAGCTCGGGGGTGACTCATGTTGTTGATCCCCAATCCCTCGCGAGAGGAAAACATTTCCGCATAAACAACTGTTACTTTTAAAACCCCATAATTTACCAAATTAATCGCAATGCAACGTGCAACGTTGCGTTTCTGTTTTCCGAGTAGTTTTCAGTATTTTGAGGGATTAAATTATTTTCACCCTCGGCTATAGAAAATAATATTAACAAAACTGTTCCCTATGTAAAATACACGAAGCTGTAATATTAACGGGGCAATGAACTTTTCCGTATACCTCCCGCTTAAGATGGAGGAGGGCGTCGTAGTGGTAGATTACAGGGTGAATAAAATATTAGCTGCACGTTAACAGGGGGACACACATATATCGTACAGCAACCTTACCCATAAAATGGAGGAAGGCAAAAATATTTCATGGCACAGCAGTAGCGTCCCCTTACGAACGATACATTTTTCGATCGACTTTTCCTCGGAGATAAAGAACAGGGTCGTGGCGGTAGATTAGAGGATGAAAAAAACAAAATATACTACTCTCTAAAATTTAGAAAGACAGCTTAAGGGTTGTTTAGACCTCGAATGGCGGACACCGGGTTCATTTTGACCTAAATCTGAATTTCAGTACAAGGTTTTCGGTTGAATTTTCTTGAACAGTTTGCATGGGTCCAGATGGACCCGGAGGATGTTGAGTTAGGTGGAAAATACATCTTGCAGGCATCTGGGAGTTACAAAATTAACCAGACGATAAATTTGTCGATACACCTTTCCCCGAAGGTGGAGGAGGGTGGCGTAGCGATAGGTTAAAGGGCGAAAAAAATATTTTCCCGTTGACCCCAGATGGGATTTCGCGGGGGGGGGAGAAGGGTTGACTCTCAGAGGCAAGCGGTTGGCTCCTCAATTTGAGCGTGTAGCGGGCGAGTGGCGCGAAAGGGATACCAGAAAAGAGAACAGCTGGATTGTATTGATCCGCGCTCGAGCGTTGGCGTAGGGGTGGCTCTCGACCGACCCCGGCCTCGCTTGCTTGCTGCTTTTCACTCGCGGGGCAGAAGAGGGGCCGCCTCGATTTCTCCTCGTATAGTCCTCTCCAGTGTTATGTCACTGGTTTGCCGCATTGTCCGAACGCCTTCTTGTCAACCTTCGTCGCGAACGGTCTGAAGGAGCCACGGCATCCAACTGCACCCTTCGGCGCTCCGTGCCGGAGCTGGCCAGTCTCTATGGATCGTCGCGAAACTCGAGCTCAGTGAACACCTCGGGTCCCGCTCGCGCGACGATGACGGTGAAAATCTCGACGCGGTACGATATCTCGTCTCTCGACTAATTCTCCTGCTCTAATTCGCCTTCCTTTGGACCCAGGAAACCTGTAAAATATCGAAATAGGTCATACGAAGTCCTGCCACCAACCCCCTCGAGTGTGTTTATTTTTATCTACTTGTAACGTCGATCGTGCTCGTTTTCTCGCGACCAAGTGGCCGAGGGTTCTTGAATAGTTTCGATCATCACGTGTCGCTTGGGTCTCTCTGTGTGCTCTCGCATATGGTGTGCTGCGTTGGATTTCAATTGGTGCACGCGGCTTTTCTCCTTCGGGTCGATGGCAATGTCTGCCGTCCGCTCGAGAGTTTCACGCGCGAGAGTCGATATCAAGAATACGAGATCTTTCGCACGAACAGAGCCTTTGTGCTGGATGTTTGTTTCGTCGAAACCTTGCTCTTGATAGCGACTGTCGAGAAGCAAACTTTCCGGTGAACGTTGAGGCGTCGCGTTGTGGCGAGGATCGGGATCGGCGATAGCAGAGTCCATCGAGTGTTTTAAACATTTTCATTACGGATAGAAACGAATAATGATCGTTGTTCCAGTGTCCGGGAGACCCACCAGATTGCTGAGGCGCAACAAGAAAAAAATGCTAAGCTACGGGAGGCATTTGGAATATCGGAGTTCTTCGTGGAGGGAAGTAGCCTAGATCCCGAGAGGCACGCGCGCGAAGCAGAGGCGAGAGCTGCTGCGAGCAAAGTGTACGAACTGGTGCGAACTCCGAGTCCTACTCCGGACACGACGTCCGTCCCGGAGAAGAAAAAACGAAAACGTTCCGGCAGCACGACCAAAAAGAAAAAGGGGAAGAAGCACAAGAAGGAAAGGTAAAAGACAACGTAACGGTGCACGGGTCAGTGGAGGCTGGATTCTATGTTGTTGCTAATTATAAACGAGTAATGGAGCACGGATAAACTGTAGTAGTGATATTACTACATTGTACTATGGTATATTAAATGACAACATGTATACTATAGCGTAGCAGTAGTATTATTATGGTATACTACAGCATACTATAGTATAGTAGTTACACGTACCTATTCGATGTATTTGGTCGAGTAATGAGTTCGTTTGCGTTTCTTTGGAACGACAAGCGTTATGTATACGCTAAATTCAGGTCGAGACTCCCTTCAGAAATAAAACAGCGTCCAATTTAAAAAGTAAATATCGCACGTCTTTGAAAAAAGAGACTTCGTTCGGGCAAAGGCAAATAGAAAAGCTGATACCGTACATGAAACGCTTCCACATTCTCTGTAACTCGATATGCTTATCCATTGGAGCTTCTATAAGCAGCGTTTTGAAATACCACACCTCGAGCTGCATACCGCGCTGAAAAGTGAACGATCCTATTACTCAACTTAATATATTATGTTATATTGTAATACAATGTAGCAATACATATACTATAGGTGAATGACTGCATCGTGGAACATGTAATTGATTTATTTATGGAATACTGTTGCTAAGGTGTACAAGAATCCAGGCTTCAAGACCGAACGGACGTCCCCCTGTAGTAGTTCCTCTCCTCCCCAGTTAATTATTCATTTACCGCAAGTCCACACACGTTCATTTGCTTACTACACACCTCTTGTCAGATACTGAATCATGACTCACCTACTATTTCATGTCCCATACACCTTTCTCTGTTTCAAACAGAACTGAGGAGGACTGAGTGCCTACCCAGAGTAGGCTCAGTAGGTAAGTGTGGTCGTCGCGTCTACTTTCCAAAACACTCTCAAAAAGCATTATAATCTCTGTATTGAGAAACAAAGACAATCGAGTTCGTCCATTGCCTTATGTTTGGGTATTTCGTCTTACAGGCGCAATTATTAGAGGTAAATGTTTGCTATACTCTGATATCCATAACGTAATCAAAACGTTGTACTTACATAAAATACGATAATAGTAGCAGTATACATGATAGGCAAACATTTACTTAACATACAAAATAAACGCGGTTTTTTTAAAAACAAATAACGTTAATCAATCTGACGCGTAAATCATGCATTTCTATCTTTGTTGTTGTTATCGATAAAGCTTGTTGTTAATGTCATCTCTCTATTTTTTTCTGACAAGTCCGTCCCTATCGATGGTTATCAAGGTAATGCTAATCCCATATTATATCAATACTCCTCATATTTTGTATACTTGTCTTTTGTAAATTTTGAAAGATGTGGTTTTACATACGTGCTTTATCGTGACCAATTTAATATACATCTCATATGACTATGAAAAACCAAATCTTTCAAATAAACGAATTATGTAGTCGGTTTGTTAGCTATAGCCCAATATTGTGACTTTCACCTGTATATGTATCGTTGTATTTATATTTTTTTTTATTACTTAATTCACTTGGGATTGCAGTGAAAGAAAGAGACAATTTATTTTGTTCTGTTTAATATCGATAAACATTAAAGTCTACACACTGCATTTCCTATACATATACATGTATGTATAAGTTAGTTTCTATTTTTGACTTTAAAACCTTGTCCAGATGCTGAAATAGTTCGGTGCAAACTTTCATCAGAATACGCGTTCTCAGTTACTTTCAAATATTTATTCATTACTTTGATCGAGCTCATTAAAAGCAGGTAGCTTGTATCATTAGAACAAAGTATTTGTTTCACACACGGATACATTGTACTACAGCTTTCTTTATTGTCAGCACAAGGTATGCACTTGTCGACAGGAAGACGCCCACTGCAAGAATTAAAAAATAAATATTATTAAAACAACAAAATTAAACCGTCGCTCGGCGAAACTCGTAGAATAATGATAAATGTATTTCCTAGGTCGGAATCTCCAAAGGCTAGTAAGAAAAAAGATAAATCTAAAAAGAAGAAAAAGGACAAGAAACACAAAAAGACTGAGGCTAGTTCCTCTGATAGTGATTCTAGCGAAGCTTCAGATGATAGCAGGTAATATTCCTTTGAGGATTAGTGCGTTTTTATCTTCTAACGCGATTTAATTGTCTGTTATGCAGCTCTTCCGAAACTGAATCAAAGAAGAAACGGAAAAAGAAGAAGAAGAAATCTAAGGCAGAGGCAAAAGAAAAGCACGAGGTAGGAAAAATATTGCGAAGGAAACAGATATGAAATTTCTATCTTCCTGTCTCTTTCTATACATATACATATTTATAAATATATATATATATACATATATATATATATCCATATATACCTTAGCACGTGAAGCAGGAGCATGTGACATCTACTTTGCGTTCATTTTCCCTTGATTAGTTGTCAATTAACATTGGATTATCAAAAATTTGTGTTGCTGCCTATCTTTGAATAAGCATGATTCATTGCTTGTTTCTGTAAAGATTTTTATCTGATTTCAAGTTAACAGTCATTATTTCAAAAGTGTAAATCTCAGTATTGTTTGTAATTATCAGCGCCATTTGACAGGATATATTCCCTGAGTGAGTACCAGATATGCCGCTACTCAATGTAATAATAATTTGTGATTTATATTCGTACAAACTTACGATTGTTGTTGCCTTTCACTCGTTTTGTGTCAAGCACCATCACATTTACGAGAAAGTAATAATAGGAGACTGCTTGTTCTTTGATATAGGTGCAATGCGAAAAAGAATTAGTGCATATAATAATCACGTATTAGTTTGTGATCTCTATTTTCTCGATGTTTATGTTTTATTGACATATTACAATTTTCAGCCTGAACATTGTGTACATTTTAAATTATCCATCAAATACATACTTTTACTAGAGCGAATGAGCAGACTCCAGAAAGTTTTTGACGAATTGCGATATCTTTTTTTATCCTACTGACAAGTACATATGCATGATTGGTGTTCACTAGCTAATATTGTCTAACTTAGTAATCTGTACTGTTCTTATTTTAGAAGAAAAAAGTAGCTGCCAAGAGGAAGCATCAGTCATCCGAGAGCTCCTCGGACAGGTATGTCCGAAGTATCCCTTGAATTTAATTCAAAATTCTCGTTTTAGCGCTTCGAAAAATATATATACATCGATGAAATTTCCAGCTCCCCAGAAAGACCGAGGAAGTCTGTAAAATCTGATAAAGTTGTGGAAAAAACAAAATCTGATGAGGGGGATACTACACCAAAAGAGCCTCGGCCAAATCGTTCACCAAAGAAGCAAGAGAAAAGTCGAAATGAAACCCCACCCCTTAAAAAGAAAGATTCTCCGATCAAAAAAGTTGTTCCGGAGAAGAGGGAGAAGTCACCGGTTGCACACAAGAGTCCTCCACCACGACGACACAGATCTCCGTCAAGAAGCAGAATCGATAGAGGGAGATCTCCTAGAAGATATTCAAGGTCACGGCGTATCAATCCATCGCCAAGAAGACGAAGGATGTCAAGGTCTCCTAGAAGATACAACAGATACTCGGTGTCCAGAAGCAGAAGTCGATCGAGATACGATCGTTATGGATCACGCCGCAGATTATCGCCTCCACCTAGACGCAGAAGGTCCGATTCTCGAAGAAGATCAAGGTCACCAAGGAGACAGAGAGACAGACGAGAGAGATCGAGAGAACGTCGTAGAACCCGCAGCAGGACGAGAAGTAGATCTAGACGATCCACCTTGAGCTATTCTCCCGTGAGAAAGAATCCGGAGCGGTACAAGCACATATTGGAAGATAAGAAGAAACGAGATCAAAAGAAAACTCCGGAGACTAAACGGAAATCTCGATCGAATTCTAGGACTAGAAAAATCCGAACGATCACGCCGAGGGTCAGACTGCGATCTTCCAGCGAAGACGAAACTGACATGGCGGATGACGAGCCGAAACCAGAAGACGAAGAGAAGTTGAAGGAGCTGCATACTCTGAAACGTTTGCAAAGTGGACTGGCTGCAAAAGCTAGGGAAAGTATAGGGAAGAAAGTAATTAGTCCTGTAAAGATCAAATTAGAGAAGAAAGAGGATAGCATACTTGATATTGCATTACCAAACGACCCACCAAAAATGGTACAAACTATTATTTGTCCCGTTCAAGAGAAGTCTAAATCAAACTCACCTATATCGCACCTACCTGCTATTCAGTCGCCAGTATCAAGCAGATCACCTTCACCCGCGTTACCATTGACCCGAGAAGAAGCAGCTATAAAGATACGTTCGCCCAGCGAGTCCCCTCCACCGTTACCGCCGATGTTAAATAAAATGAACTGTAGGTCACCGAGTATAACAACCAAGACGAATCATTGCTCCAAGTCTCCAAGTACCTCTAAGAATTCTCCAATTATGTTAAGAAAGCATTCATCGGAAAGCCAGTCGTCCTCGCATTCACCACCGATCTCCCACAAGGAAGCGCCCATAAAATTACGTTCTCCCAGTGAATCGCCACCACCTCCTATACTTAGCAACGCGACTAAACTAAAACGGTCCGCTTCACCGAGTACTTCGAAAAAGAGTTCGCCAGCTTCTAGAAAGCATTCTCCGAGAGATAAGTCCTATTCGAGATCACGTTCGAGGTCCTACACAAGATCGATGTCGTTGGAGAAACGATCCTCTCGATCGCCTAGACGTCGTTCTTCGCGATCCCTCTCCAGGGACAAGAAATCACGTTCTCCGTCAAGAAGTAAGAAATCGGAATCTCCTAGACACAGATCACCTGCGTCCCCAGCAAGGTCCAAAAAATCACCGAAATCCCCTGTTAGAACGAAAAGGTTGAGCAGGTCGAGGTCTTCCTCGGAATCGAAACGCTCCATGTCGAGGTCGCCGTCGCGATCGAAGAAGTCCCCCTCCCATTCGCCGGCAAAATCAAGATCCAGGAGTAGAACGAGGTCGTTGTCGAAAAGGTCTAGGAGTCGTTCTTTGTCAAAGAAATCGAGGAGCCGATCTCTGTCGAAGAAATCGAGGAGCCGATCTTTGTCAAAAAAATCGCGTAGTCGATCGTTGTCGAAAAAGTCAAGGAGTCGATCCCTGTCGAAGAAGTCAAGAAGTCGTTCACGATCGCTATCCAGGATATCGCGGGAAAAAGAGAAAAGAAGTCGCTCCAGAAGCAGCTCGCGTTCTTCTTTAAGGTAAATAGGTTGTTGTACAAGTCCCGTTGCACAAGTTACGTCGAAACGTTTTAACGTAATACATTCTTTTCTTACCTCTAGTTCAAGGCACAGTCGTAGAAGTTTCTCTAGCTCCTCGCGATCATCGAGTAGCGCTTCTAGCAGGTCCTCTCGTTCAACATCTAGCAGTTCAGCTTCTAGCAGGTCTCGTTCTCCGTCAATACCACGGCGCCATGGTTCACCCAGTTTCCTAGATAGACGCCGTATCACAAGGTAGGTATCCCGATCAGTAGTATAAAAAAACGTAGCAACAGATTTTTTACAGCGCACCAAATTTCGTAGGCCCACTGCATCAGTCGTAGAAATGTTTATCTTTCAACCTACTATTGTTTTGCGTTTTTTATGTTATTTCTCGTCATTCATGTGCCTTTCACGATCCCGTGAAAACTTTGATTAAATTGCAGGCAATCATAAAATGACGATATCGATAAGTTTACCATTCTTGATTTGTATGATTGATTATTCTAATGCCATTTTGTGTTGTGTCCTACAGGGACAGATCGAGGGACAGGCATAGAAGATAAAGTTACGGCTTCGCACAGACGTTTCTATTACTTTCCTACGGTTCATGTAGTAGTAAACATGATGAATAATCGAATTTCGTTTCTTTTCGTATAAATAAATAGCAGATACGAGATAAGCAGTTTAGCTGCTGTTGCGAATATTAGTTCGTAATGATTATTAAGTGCAACGGATCCTGTTGTTTTATTATAACTTTGTGGCCACTATAATTATATTACCAGTTTATCAGTATAACTTCACTAATTTTTTAAGAGAATATTTTAGGCGCTATATAAATTTTCAGTCTGTAAACGGATATGTTCAATCAGCGAACCCTGATATTACTTTATTTTACGGAGTAAGCGTATTTACTCAATCGCATCAATACACGAATTTGTTTCAAGCCAATCAAGTATACTTATGTTTGTATGATTTCTCCCCGTATTTTTTTTTTCTTTTCATTTGTATCTAATTGCTTATCAAACAATCTACAGATATTATGTAGATGTAGCATGTGTGTATTTCCCTCATAAATTATTGTAAATTAAACATTTACAGTAGAGATTCTCTTTTATTTTATGTCGATCGCAAATAAAATGTATTTACCGCTATAAAGCAAGCCTGTTTCTTTAGTTCAATATTTCTTTTGTTGTGATTTATGAATCGTTTTTGGCCCACTGCCTTCCATGATATACATTAGTGCAAGGTAAGTGACACATTTTTATTTTGCATGTTGTTTTTTGTTGCATTGCACGATTTATTTTGCACGCATCCTTTCCTCATACTGTAATATTAATATTAATAATGAAAACTAACTCATGAGTTGTGATATTGATTTTAAGATGATAATACGTTAATTCGTTCAACAGTCTTCACAATTAACATGCCCATATGTTTATCTGAATTTGAACAAATGTGTTTTTATTAATACGTATAAATGTTACGACTCTGTTATCACGATATTGACGGCGATTCATTTTAGCGCCAGGAAGCGACCAATTCCATATCACCGACCTACTCCGACACCACCTTCGTCACCGAGTAGTTCAGATAGCAGCAGACATAGTAATTGGTCAAGTCCAAGCCATCGATCAAGTTGTTCTCCGAGTCGGAGTCCATCGTACACGCGTTGAAGTGATCAAGCGGATCCCTAAAGACAGTTAACGTTCCTTTTATGTATCAGATTTGGAATGGTGCGGATCACCATGATCCTCTGATGCTTTTTCTAACAGTCCTACATTATGAAAATCATGTTTGTGATGTTGAACATTCCCATGACACATTTCGGATGAATTTTAAGTATTTTCTCGTGTTAGGAAGCATGATTTAAAGATACAAGGGAAGATGCCATTCTAAATTTGGTGCATGATCTTTAAGTCTTTGTAAAGTCTTAATATGCATTTACACCTCTGATCTCATGTCTTAATAATACTCATCAGTGGTGATTGTCCATAATGCCATCAATTTCAGTACGTACGTTTCTCGGAACAATATTTTCTTGTCGACTAACAACAATATTGTTTCTCTAACATCATTCTTATTTCAATTAGGTAGTAAGAATTAATGATTTGATTGTAGGTACAATGTATTTTATAATTGATTGTTAAGATGAATTTACCGAACCACAGAAAATTGAGAATGACAAGTTTTAGTCAATTACTCATTCTATAATTTTCTGAATTCGAATGAGATTTCAAAGGTATACGTGCAAGAGTATCCAAAGAAGATATTTTAATATTAGGATTAATATCTTGGCAACATTTTGTAAAACTATTGTTTTTTAAAGGATATTATTGCCATAATTTATGTTGTCTCTCAACTGTTTTGAGAATTTTAAGTCTCCATGTGATGTTGTTCTTTACAAACTTACATTCATCTGAGTACTTAAGCAATAAGGAGACGATGATGATTATAAACATCATCAATTGTGTTGGTTGCAGCTTTTTAAGATCTCGCATTATTATTCAATAGTTACTCTATTATTTAAACATTCATTTTAAACTACGTTAGTAGTTCTACATCTGCGTGATTAGTTAGTTAATCATGTAATTGTTTGTTATACAAACACCAGCTAGTCAAATTTTAGACATTCCATCAATCGTTAAAACACTAGCATTCTTTCAATTTATCTACCAATTTCCCAAGGGATAAGTAACTGATATTTTAGTGCAATGTTCTACACCTGTTCCTTTTGTACATAGATATTACAATGCATAATGAAGCTTAGCATTTTGCTCATTTGCTTTTCATTCTATATACTCAACATTGATAAAATTGTACATTTATTTATTTAATTTATTTATTTATTTATTTATTTATTTATTTATTTACTTGTGTCACAAATTGCTAGTCATTAGTCAACTTTAAAGGCAAGACAAAAGTATAAGTGATGTTATACTCTTAAACTTTCCTTTACTTGCAATACTCAATTTATCTAAATGCTAGTCAGAAAGTTACTTTCTTGGCTGTAAGGCCAGGCAGCGTACCAAAAGACATAATTAGACTAGTCTTGATTATTCAAAGTTAAGTCTTGAAGATGTATGTATAGGGTTAAAAGTCATATTTGGAAAGTCTACGTTGTTTATAATTAGAAGGGAAAACTACGTAGAATTAGCTATTGCATAATGACTGAGTCAGTTTTATTGAAAAGAATTGTCAACTGCTATGGTGCTGCAATATTGACCTTTCATTGATGCATATCTATAAAAACAAACTGAAACATAAGTACATACTTATCACACAAAATTGTTTTATAAAATTAACGCAAAGGAAAGTCTGAAATCATCACTCTGTCGATTGAATAGTAAATTTTATGATATATATCTTAACAGAGTGTAAAATGAAATTTATTTATACGAACGTAAAAAAAGTAAAACTTGTTAAATTTTGCCCACCATGGCTTTTGACTGTAATATTTATTATTCATAATTTACAGTCATCGAATGTTACCATTGTTGAAATGGAAGAAATTCTGATTATATCTGTAATATACTCTGTATTGTTGTTGTGTGATTAAATCGAAAAGCTTAAAAAATTTAATTTTTCCCCAAAACCGTTTACAGGATTTATTTATAAATTCTTTGAATAGTATAAATTTACAAAATAGTCTGCTATATTCTAACTACAAAATAAAATGTCTAGTTGGAATGATTATTTACATAATCCTTATACAAAATATATTCTCCTTTATATATATATACATGGTCCCTTTAACCTTTATAGCTGACAAACCCAATTTATATGTATATTAATATATTATTTCCCTATTCTCATTACTTGTATGATTGTAGTTGTGCAATATATATGGTCCAAAAGAAACTAATCAAATTTATCATCAGAACACGTAACTGAAAGTTTAAAGAACACTTTAGAATATATTTTGTTGGGTACAAATAAGAAATAATTTAAGAAAACTCAAACCTACCCCTGGTGGAACATATTTAAAATTGATATATTGTAACAATGTTAAATATTTTAAATTTGTACTGACTACATGCCAGTGCAATCTCTTCATCTCTTTACAAGAATATTTATGTGTGTTACCCTGCAACAAAATAAATTTGTTACACGATCCACTAAATTATGAAAAGTATCAGCATATAAAATAACAAATTAGGTCTACCTGAAGCCTAGATAACATGTACAATGCTAAAGCTTGAAAACATGGTAAATATATACATCTTTCAATCAACAGAAGCTTAAAAGGACTTTTCACAAATGGATGTATAAATGTGTAGAAATAATGTGGAACAGGACCTCCAAAAAATAATCTACAAAAACATTGGCACTTTGATACAGTGAAGAATTTGTACATAAATTAAGTAAAAGTACTTTACTAACTGTAAAATACTTTAAAAACTTAAATCTTAATTTACTCAAATTTACCCAAAAAGTGCATACGCGAGTAAACTGTCATGGTTCATATGCTTTGCCCCAGAAATTTTTTGCGATATATAATTACTGAGAGTTGCAAGAATACAACTGAAAAGTATGATAATCACAAAAATTAGTATAAACAAATTATGCAAAATCATCGTTTAATGTTCACATTAATCAGAAAAATATCAACACACCTGGTAATCGCTTTAGTTTTTACAGGATTGATATAGAGTTGCTCGAAATAAGTACCGATAAAGTGAAGAAATAAGTTTGACGGTTTTGAGAGTGCCATTGTTGACTTCTACTTGCGTATGTTTGTCATGTAATTGATGCATACAAAAAAAAAAAAATGGAATTGAAAAGCAATCTTTTCCGAAATATGTTTCAAACGATTGAGTTTCAATGTTTTTAAGCTAATTTTTGGATACTCAAATATATAATTTAACGTGTCCTTGAAAATATTATCGTGTCAAAGGAAATTTAAAGAGAAAATCTTAATTTTCTCTTATTTTGTAGTCGACTGATTTCTAAACATTTCTAAATATTCTAATAGTAATAAACTTTCTTATTAGATGTTGTATGTACGAAATGAATTAACTGTAATAGTTTTACGATAGCCAATCATATACGCATATAATTTTACATATTGAATATTTTGTGTAAATAAGGTCAAATTATGTATACAATTTGTAATTACAAACAGGACCATTTCAGTATTATAGTTCAAGGGGAATATGGTACGCCAAACAACATCATTCTCAACATTATTTCTTTATTATTACTTTGTTAGGTCATATACGGAATAATATTTTGTTAGACTATGAACATGTGCTAATAAAAGGAATATATCCACATTTAAAATGTGTAGTAAAATGGTATAGCTATCTAACGCATACTTTTATAAGTACATAGATATGATATCAATTTATTTATTAATAATTTTTGTTATCATTAATTTTATATGAAATTATACAAAATGTTCATTGGATAGACAGAACACACAAATGCTGTGTACTCTTCCTATCAAGTATAAAATCAGATGCTCGCGATTTTATTCTTTCTCGTTCAATATGACTAGTACTGAAGTCGGCTGTGGCGTGGCGTATTTCCCTCAAATGGCAACTATAAAGGATTCCTGTCTATATTTATGCACATGTGGTTGCACATGTTGCGTGTTTGCTATTGAGTAACTTTTCAAAATTAATTGGAAGACTTAAAAAATGGCCCAGGGAAAACTGAAAGTGAAGGCTAAATTGCCTGCATCTAAGAAAGGAAAAGCCAAGGATAAAAAGAAAAAGAGTCCTCCTGTTCAGCGCCGAAATAGTGAGTAATATTTAGATACTTTCGACTCCATAACTATTAGTATATTCGAAAATAACGTACAAAAATAATTATTCGGAAAAAGGGTAAAAGAGTATATGTAAAAGATCAATTTTAATAAATTTAATAAAATTAATTAAATAAAAAAGTAAATATTAAACAAAAATTACAAATATCAATGCAAAGTTACGGGTTAATATATTATTAACGTAATTGAATTTTTTGGTTTATAGATGCACCCATACAACCTAAAAAAAAGAAGTTTGAAGAGGCACATAAATTGAAACAAATGATTACTAGAACAGTAAACAAAGCAATGGAAGATGAACTACGGGAGAAAGCTTTGGAAGGAAAAAAGTCTCTTACAAGGAAAGCTTCTACTTCTCAAAAGAAATAATTAAGTATGTAAATTATATGTTGATTTTAAGAAAAGGGATACTTGCTTTCCTTACTTAAGTATTAATGTTACCTATATTTAAAGGTATTTTCACAAACAATTTTGTATTATTTAACAGGAATGAAAAGTATTTTATCATACAAGTAAATGTTATTTTATTTGAAATAAATATCACCATCAAATAGAAATAATAATATCAAATTTTGCATTATTATAACATCCATTCACTTATAAAGAAATTAGATGAATAGCAACAAACACCACGCAAACTTTGATATTTATTTTTCCTAAAAATATAGCAATGTTTTGTTTTGAAATATTTTACAATAATGACAGGAAAATAGATTTACTCATATTCAAAATGTACCTTTAGAATAAGGACATATACATATAGTAGGAGAAATGAGTAAATTCAGTTATTTATTTCTGAACAATTAAGGTTATTAGTTTAATTTAATTTTATATTGTCAATATTCCATAGGATAATTCTGAACATGAAATATTATCAATGGCACAATGACTTATACAATACAAATATAGAAAAAAGAAATATTTTCTATAGGTGCATCTGAAAGATGTCCAGTAATAAATTATTTTCTTGTGCGATTATATGATATTAATTTTAAAGAAGGCACCCATATATCATAGTTAGACAATTCGTATCATTCGCGAAAGTTTCCCATTTTGCCGGTGATTCACTAATTACAAAAATAAACATTATTTCACAAGATATTTTACACAACTGACATCATCATAACAAGGTACAAAACTGCAAGTATCATTCAACAAATGTACTAAATTTGAATATATTATCTCTTCTTAATAGTCTTCCATTCTAAATCACATGAATTAAGGCTGTTTTATATATCGTACTTTCCGCGTTGAACTCTTCCTTCTAAGTACACAATTAGTTTTGTTTGAAACTTCTTTGAGATATTATGGAGAGGCCACCTAAAATACGAACACGTAAATACAAGTCACGAAGTAAAATTTAATATGATTTTTTTTACGTTGTATAAATTATATTCACCACTAGTAAATGTCCACTTTGTCTATTTTTACTAATGGCTGGTGTTGTACCAGTTCTGAATTCAATTACACCTTCCTTTCCACTGACTAGTTTATGTGAGACCCTAAATAAATAACGTAAGTCATTATTAACATACCCGTTACGATCAAATTAAATTGTTTTTGTCCGTATACTTACGACTCGGTATGAACAATTTTCAGAATATTTGGATTATTAGTGATATCAATTGCTTTTGTTAATGCTTCTATTATATGAGGTACTTCCAATATTAAATCACCCTAAGTAAAATATGAATATAAAAAATAATGTCAGATAACATATGTATATTTTACAGTAATACAATAGGAACAAACCTTGTCCTTCTTTAATTCAGGTGGTATCCTGACTATCAGTACATTATCCGATTCCCCGGTAACAACCAATTCTTCGATAGATTTGTAAGGCAATCGATGTTTAAGCTTAAATGTTTTTAAAGTGTCTAAAATGTACACCGCATTTTCTGTTAAAATTAATACCCTTTCACGGGGTTTGTAACCGTGTCGGTCGTATTTAATCACAGGCGTCGCGTACTAAAGAAAAAGAAAGAAGAAATACTGTTACTATCATCGCTATTTTAATTAAAACATCAAATAAATAACAATATTTTACTTTTATAATTTCATCTCTAGGAAGAATATTGTTAATGAAACTTTGTCTTAGCGCTTTATGCTCTGCACCGAGTCGATCGATTTGGAACCTTGGTCCTAAACTCTTTGCATATGATTTCTTTTTGTTTTTAAACAGAGATTCGGCTAAAATTTTTAATTCGAAATGCTCCTTGTCCTCCTTTGGCAAAGCCAATCTATAATTTCGTGCTTTCCATTTTTTGTGCAAGATGCGTAAATGTTCGGAAGCCTGTTAATTATTATTAGTTGTTTTAAAACGGAAACCTTTAAATGTAAGAGTAATAGATGTGTATCTTACTTCTCGGCAAGAGTACGGACATGGAGGCCAATAATTATTTAAAACACCAGAAGGAAGTGTTTTAGAGAGCTTAATTAACCATTGGGATTTTGCTAATTCAATGAAAGCTATGTTAATTGAAGTTGGTGGTCCGTTTCGCGTGATGAATCCTTCGATAAATCTATTCAAAATTGTTTAAAATTAAAATCAAATATAAAGGGAGCAAGAAAAACAAAAATGATTGATTCACAGTACCTTCGAATAGTAATAACGGCTTTTCGCCTCTTTTCAGCTTCGCGTTTTGCAAGCCACCTCCTAATATATTTTTGGAAAACGATTGCCGCTTTTCTCTTTTTCAAGTACCTTCGTCTCTCTAATATACATTTCCATTTACTCTGGATAATAGCTGCTATCTCGTGTTTCTTTCTTTGGAAGGCATCTTCTGTATCGAATAATGTCTTAGGGAATCGAATGAACAGTTTCGTGCTGCACGAAAGATTTTACTCAGTTTTAGAAGTGTCTGTGAATGTGTAGTATCCTAGAGCTACATGATTATTGCTTGAGTAACTCTTACTTGCCCATCCTGTATTCATCACGTTCGAATCTAAGGGAACATACAAGGATTTGTACACCATCTTTAGCCGCACCGTGATAGTTAGGCCAAGTTTGTGGACACAGGGATTTATAACGTTGCAAGAATTGTTCGTATGGTCTTCTGTAGGCAAAACCAGCTCGCCTTACTCGTAAATTCTCCATAAGTCCTAAATACTGTACTTGATGCAGCACAATCTTCTCATTAAATTTATCTGAAATAATACGTTTAAATGACTCGACATGCTTCGATAATATTTTGTACGCGCGAAAATATCTTTCAAACTTAGATAATAGGTGCAAATTAAAAAAATTTGTAGAACTTACTGGACATCTTATAGTCATTAGGTTTGATGCAACGAATGTAAGAAGGTTCTTTGCCCATAAGAATTTCTACAAGATTGTTCAAACTGTTTTTGAATTGTGTGATGGCCGTGTCTGGTCGCTTCTTGCTAGTTAAATCTTTTACATCGAACACAGTCTACGAGAAACATACATTTTTGATCTAGAGAGTTGGATAAACTATAATGTCCGCAAGTAAATCCGTGGATATACCTTGGTGATCGAATTCGTTGTATGTGACATCACTTCGCGCAAATCTCGGAACAATAAATCGTTATTTTTCTCAAGGAATCCGCGAACATTGTACGTTACGTCGCCAGCATAATGTACTAATCTGAATTCCTAAAACGTACGAGTGTATCGATGATAACGGAAACCATAAATTGTACAGTAAATTATACAATTCGAGACTTACATCTCGCCCCATGATTTTCTGTGTTTGCAAGTCCGCCTTCATGTGACTTATATAGTGAGGATGATTGTTCAAATTTACATTTAACTTTTCCAGAAAACTCAAATCTGTTGGATCACCGGGACGAAGACACTCTTCATCCATCAGTGATATTATACCTGTAAAAGACGCATCATATCTATAATAACTAAACCAAAGTTAACAACAAAAGATGTGAAATAATGAATACCTTTATACTTCTCTTCGATTAAATCGCATATAACTTTGTTATTAAAGAACTCAACATTCTCCCAGGTTATTCCCTCCCTTAGGTACTCTTCTTGCTCTGATTTCAACGTTAATTGGATAAATAACTGTTGTAATTTTTCATTACAATAATTTATGCAGAATTGCTCGAAGCTATCAGGAAAATATTTTCAATTAGCAGTTGTTGACAGGAATACCGTTGAATTCCAGAGATATTGCGTACCTATTCTTTTGGAAGATTTCAAAACCGTAAATATCCAAAATTCCTATAACCATCTTGTGCCGCGGATTGTTAATCGGTTGCAATGATTTGTTCAACCTGGTTACCAGCCACGTGAACAATCTGTCGTACACAGCTTTTGCGAGTGCATCGCGTGCATAAATTGCGAGTTCTCTGTTCAACGGGGAAACAACTACGTCCCCACGGGCGTCAATTGTACGGTGTGTAAAAGCTTCTGCTAATTGTTTCACGTCGCAACCCAATAACTGCAAACGAATTCGATTCGTTCACGAAAAAATCAAAATAAAATAACGCGGTTATCCAAAGTCAGGTTTTTCAGTCGATTGAAATGCAAAACCTGTTATATCTCGAAACGACGATAAATGTAAGTACTTGCATCGCTTTCATAACGAACTGGTTAATTAATCAATGATGCAGCGACTATCTTGTCTGTTAATGTTTTCCCATTACGGAATATTTTTAGTAAATGTAAATAAATATTACGTAAGGAATTACATTAACTAAAATAAATAAGTTTTTGTATCTGTTTTTAGAAAATAATTACAATTTGGCCCAGTTTCTAGAATATACAGGGTGTCCGGCCACCCCTGGGAAAAATTTTAATGGGGGATTCTAGAGGCCAAAATAAGACGAGAATCAAGAATACAAATTTGTTGATGGAGGCTTCGTTAAAAAATTATTAACAATTAAATTCAAAAATTTCAAATCGGTCTGGAAAAATTATTTTTAGTTGCAGGAGTCAATTACAATCATTTTTGGTCAGTAGACGTACCCCCGAAATCCTACCCACTTTCTAGAAAAAATTCGAGAATGTGTGACATTTTTCGACACAATTAAAAAATTTCAAATCGTTCTAAAAAAATTATGTTTGATTGCGGGGGTCAATTACAATCATTTTTGGTCAGTAGATGTACCCCCGAAATCCTACCCACTTTCTAGAAAAAAATTCGAGAATGTGTGAAATTTTTCGACACAATTAAAAAATTTCAAATCGTTCTAAAAAAATTATGTTTGGTTGCGGGGGTCAATTACAATCATTTTTGGTCAGTAGACGTACCCCCGAAATCCTACCCACTTTCTAGAAAGAAATTCGAGAATGTGTGAAATTTTTCGACACAATTAAAAAATTTCAAATCGTTCTAAAAAAATTATGTTTGGTTGCGGGGGTCAATTACAATCATTTTTGGTGAATAGATATACCCCCGAAATCCTGCGCATTTTCGAGAAAAAAATTCAGTACGGGCGGAACTTTAAACGTTAATAACTTTTTAACAAAGCCTCCATCAACAAATTGGTATTCTTGATTTTCGTCTTATTTTGGCCTCTAGAATCCCCCATTTAAAATTTTTTCCCAGGGGTGGCCGAACACCCTGTATATCTTACATACTTACAATAGCTACAGCGTCAACGGAAGCTGGCTTTAAAATTTGTGCTACGCCATCTTCTTCGGTAAATCCAACATTTCCCATGTGCAATACCGATGCGACTATCGCGAATAAATCATCCTGTTCCTTTTGAGTCATTTCCATGGTCTTCATAGCCTTTATTACTTCCTTGTATTGACAAGAATCGTCGATAGTGTTTACCGTGCCCTTTGTCTAGAAACGAATCGGAAATTTCTAACACATTCTGCAGTGCCATTAAAATTGTATTATTTAAAAATACAGCAACTTACTCCGTTACTAAGATAATAATATGTATCCAAATTCCTTTTAAGGAACAACTTTCGCAAACTCTCGTCGCTCGCTCCAGCCAGCAGCTGATAGAAAATGTGGAAATTTCGTTCTCCCGAAAACTGATGAACCACTCGCGACTTTTCGAGCAGATAATTCAAGATATTTCCACCGATTGGGTCTCCCTGCAAAAATAAAGTTATCGAAGAAACATCGACGTTTATCATGTTATACGCCTCCGTTTTATAGTATCTCTTTTTTTTTAATAAATATGATCAGGTTATAAAGACAACTTCATGGATTAAAAATTTATAGTTGTTAATAGTCTTGTAAAGAAACGTGAACAGGCTTGCCACACAACCCAACAGATATAGTTAATAATAATCATTATTATTTTAAAAATCGCGTGTCACTTTATCAAGGGTAATGCTTCTACTACAATCGATCAGTTTTTCTTTATTGATAATCTAAAAGCTTTTTAAAAAAAACAACGAAACGTTCTTTCGTTTGTACCTGGAAATTAAATTGGATATCCATGTACTTGCCGAAACGGGACGAGTTATCATTCCGATTAGTTTTCGCGTTTCCGAAAGCTTCGAGCACGGGATTGCTACCGATCAACTTATCGTTTACTTCCTCCACTTGTTTCTTGTGTCCAGTAGCGGCTGCGATAAATTCTAAGACTTTCTTCGATGCCTCGGTCTTCCCTGAACCGGATTCGCCTACACAAAGAGTGCAAGTAACGTTAAACTTATCTTCGACGTAGTAAGTTCACGTTGCTGCAACGATTCTTGCAGCAGTAAAATACTTTTTAGTCTAATACTTATATTCATTTGTAGGTAAAGCAAAGTTGCTTCGTACCTGAGATGAGGATGCACTGATCCAAATTTTCCTTCGAAAGAGACTGATACGCGGTATCGGCGAGTGCGAAACTGAAACAAAGGAATTTTTTATAAATGTAAGTATGTACTGGTGGAAGAAATCAAAATACATACTACATCGCTTATTTTATGATTGTTTCTTACATGTGCGGTGCAGCTTCGAAGAAGTTCCTTCCATGGTAGTACTGAATGGTCTCTGGATTGTAAATCGGTAACTTTTTGTAAGGATTCACGGACACGAGTACCTGGCCGATGTATGTCTGTAACGAAGGTATCACGATTCCTTGAATATTTAAATGTAAGAAGCGCAATCAACTTTTACTCACGTAAATAAGGTTCTCGTTGAATCGTTTTCGTAGATTGTCGATGAAGGCTTTCTCGCTCTCGAAGTCCTCGAGGAGAACGAAATCCTGGACACCGACGCGGTCGCGTTCGTGCAGACCACGTTCCATGTTCTTGCGTACCTCGGTGTTGGTGCGAGTGACTTCCGGCGCCCTACCGGAACCTCTTACACCGCCTCCAGTGCCGGAGACCGCACGTTTCTCGCTGCAAGATTACCAGGATGAAGTTAAGCCCAACGTGTTCACAATTTCATGCAGAAAATTCAAACTCAAGAGACAAAATGTCTTGCGATAGTTTGCAAATTTAACTACCATTTTTATTTGTTCGAAAATGAAATTCGCCCAACTTTGCTGCCAGTGTGTTAACACCTGACGCATAAATACGGGCTTGGCATTCTTTTATTTTCGCTGATTTTTGCGTCACGTGTATCCGTGTCATCGAAGACCGCGGCGCGACCGCACGCGGAAAATCGACACCGATCGCGTGAAGCGCCATTGAAGTTCAGGGTGTTGATTTCGTTTCCGGCGGTCGAACAATACTCGGAGTCCGCACTTTCTCGCGTTCGATATCATGTGACGTCCACGAGTAGGGGTTTTCGAGCGCTATCGATAATGATATTGCATCGATAACAGTTTTCCGCGAAACAGAATGTTTCCATCATGGAGAAAGCACCATACGGAAGAGGAACATCGTCGATCGGTTCCATCGACTGATTTCGAAGGGAAAATTCATAATTGTGAACCGTACAACGTGAAATCGTAATAGGAGAATCCGATCCATCGGAATTAAAATGATCTACCGCGCACTCGACTACCAATACTTTCCATTCTTCGAATAAAATTTTGTTCTTATCTGGTGTCGTTCAATGTTATTTCACTTCAGTTCCAGATTCGATTCGGCGAACGTTTCGTCTAACAACAGCAATCATAGTCGCACTCACCCCATGTTTCAACGTCGTTCTTGATCCCTGGACAACATCCAACAGAGATTAAGCAATTAAATAATAATCGCGCGTTATTGTTATCGTAAGCACGGAACCGGCGCTGGTGTTCTCGCAACTGATGCTCGTTGTGCTTCCCTGCGAAAACTTAACGATCGCGAGATAAGATAGGCTGAGTTACGTGGAAAGTTAATTTCGATTTCGTTCAGTGATTTACGATCAATTTACGATCGAATCCCTTGCACCGAATTCCTCTCTGCCAAACAGCCGTCTCTAAACTATACGCGTACGAAGATAAATGTTCATTTTAGAGATCGAAGGGTGGTTCAAACTTTTGAACGGCAGTGTATAATCACTGATAAAGAAAGACGCCAGTTATCGTCGCGAATGCTGCATAGTGGTTTTTATATCGCGTTTTATTAGATTGCTAACTGTTTGCGCGAGTATTCTTTCCGAGAGAAGAGCGGAGGTATCCACCTAGCAGAATGCAAGATTACATAAGAACGTTGCTCGCTTCGATTTGTGTTCCAATTAATTCTCCCCAATTCCCCCTCTTTCGAACCAATTAAACCGCGACATTAAAGGCGACCGATTGACGCGAACGTTCCCGCGACGCGATTCCACGCGAATTCTGTTGCAACTTGTGTCCGTTTCGACGCGATGCAACATTTGAAAAACGAAACTTCAAGGACAGATATACGTGATCCGCTCGAAAACTGCACCGATTAATCAACGGGTCGTTACTATTCCATAAAGGCCACTGACAAATCGCGGTCATTGTCATCGCCGAGACCTCTGGGAATATTGATTTTTTCCCCCGTAAAAGGATTCTTAATCCTTCGCTATTTTTTTAAAGGTTCACTGTAGAATACCCCTTTAAACGAACGAGAAGTCTTTTTAATCGAGAACCATATTCAGATTTTTATCAGCTAAACGCGTTATCGTTCAATCTGCGGACCGGAAAATTTTTATAGACCAATCGAGCGTAATTAAGCGAAAATTATATCGTGGAGCTTCCTTATCGAGTTAAGATTAATCATTATCGAAATATCCACAGTTTCATCAATGAAGAAGGTACTTGTACGTACGCGTGCAACGTAACTCTTCATGTTATGGAATTTTTTTCGAACGTTATATCACGAAATTAGCGTGCGTTCGTTACATGCGCGAATAAATCCAATAAATAATTTTTCTTTCTACAATTTCTTCCCATAGACGAGCTCTGTACAGCTTCGATTTTTAAAAGCGACGCGTTTAGAAAATATTCGTCACTGTGGAAATAGGATAAACCGATCACTGAACCTCGCGATCGAATCTAAAGTTGTACCACAATTTTTTTAAAAATTGTTTCTCCCTTTGGTACCTTTTAAAAATATTATTTCGTTAAGATTCGTTCGGCCGATCGAACAACGTCACAGACGATCACTTAAGGAGATTAACGAGCCACCAGGTGCGAGAACAGCTCAGTGTCACATTTCCGTTTTTTTTTTCATTCAGTTATTGTACAAACAGGCACTTTTGATGTTTTAGGGGCGATCGGTGGACTATGCACGCTCACTGGGGATCCAGAATGAGATCCGTGGGATCGAGACACCGGATGATCGATTCACCTACGACTGCCACTCAAGAATGACTTAACAGTGTCCACCTTCAGTTTATCACACACGGTGCGCGATTTCTCCTACCTCCTCGCCACCATTCCTTCATCCGACGCTGATACGGGAACAAATCCACACGAGGTCCGATGAGAAATCATTCGATCTAGATCGAAATTCGTCTTTTCGAGAACGAAAGTTTCAAGGATGCTTCGATACAAGTAATTTTTCAATCTTCGCCCGGAAAAGCAATCGAATACTAAATTTTGGAACATTTTCCAAATCGAAGGTAAATGGACATTGATCGAAACGAGATTAGAGATTAAAATTGTACTTCGGAAAGGGCCATAAACAGAACAAATTGAATTATTCGTTTCCACAAGCAACGGCTTACCGCTAATTTTAAAAATTCATTTCGTAATTAAAATCGGAATGTAAACAATTTTAATCGACATCTAAATCCTAATTAATGCCAAAAGAGCTGTGTTTAATCTAATCTAATCGATTCGTATTTTTCAGAAGCGATTCACGCAATAACGAAACCGTAACGATAGAATTTTTCACTGGTACAAACACTTTATCGTTATCGTATCGTCGTTTGTTTTCTTTCGACCGCGATTATGCTAGTTCAAAGTAACTTGATGCATCTTATCCATAGTTTCTCGCTCGCCAATCGAACGCAATCGGTACTTTTTCTATTTCGACTATTACATAAACAACTAAAACAATGTAATTAAAAAAGATACGGTTATCTTTACGATTCGACTCGAGCTTTATGTGGTAGACGGATTTTACCTTGGTCTCATGGTTCCCAGATTTCTAGGGTGAATAATATAGTCGTTGGTTTCTTTCGAAGGACAAACAACAGCCGATTCCAGTTGAAGAATAATAATGGCCATTTAAGTGCAATCGCAACGAATGTCGCAAGAATACTGGTACGAGTGTGCCGAGAGGAAACACAGATGCAACAAGCTCTCAAGTAAATGGTTTTCGTGACCTCGTTATCGACACGAGGAGTCAATCGATGACCGCTCGTCGAATCGTCTATATGCAAAACTCGATTCTTTTTCAAAGTAAACAACAGTTTTTTCTCCTAACGAAATTACGTCTCGAGACAATCTGCACGTACGATGACTTCTTCGTTATCGCAAGGAAAATATTAGTTGTCGTTCTTCGCGTATTTACGAACCAACAGTAATTCTTTCCTAAAAAACGAACGTTGCGCGTATAGCCAAGCAATCGTTATGCACAATGTCTTATCGACTACGCGAATTAGCTACACTACTTAGAACGTTGATTATTCGAACGACTGATTATCGGAACACAAACTGAGACATACAATAAGTAATTTACAAAAAAAAAAACTATTTGTAACTGTGTTTTAACAGAGCATTCGTGGTTTTATTTTTGGAAAAAGAGGATGGTTTTGGCACGAATTCCTCTTGGCATACTCTGAGTACGTTGTTTAACAATAATTTTCAATTCTTTATCACGATGCCAAATCTTAGTTATTGCTACTATAAGATTTGTTTTGTACGCGATGACGATTTTGCGTCTCAGAAATTCCTAAATATCTTCAATAAGTATTGTGACGGATCTTCGAAAGGCAACCAAAGAGACGCGATTTGTTGGTCGCATCTAATCAATCCTTTCTGCTGGGTCAACGACTCGGGCCAAGCTCCGTTTCAATAAGTCTCTAAATCGCATGACAATTTCCGCGAATCGGAAGTCATAATGCTGTCGCTTCAACCTCTGACCCTAAACGATATGTTGTACAGTCGTTCGCGAGCTTCTTCGCATCGCGCGGAAATGAGCTAATCTACCTACCATTGGAAACACCTTTGCGTCACTTCTATTCTATTCCGTTCCTGAAAAGGCATTCGTTCTTCTTTGAATTCTTTCGCGGTATCTATTCAAGCACAGAAAAATTCGTCACGGGCAAACAGATCAATTGACCTAATTGTACGTAATGAACCATTGTTCGAAATTTGGTCGTACGATTTACCAAAATTGTAAGGAATTTCTTTTTTCTTGCTCCTAAAAGAACGAATGTCGCACAGTGTCTTTGAACTTCTAAAATACCGATTGTCTCATCGGCACGAGTGTACCTAATTATTTCGAGCGGTGCAATAACGAGACACCGAAACAGTTATTTCGAGTGGCTCGAAAAATCGGCCATGAACGTCTGGAGATAATTTACACCCGACACATAGTAGCGTGCCATATTTAAAACGCGATATTTACGGCCCGATCGTCGAAACGCAGCTACTTTATAAACACAGAATGCAATTTCGAACGGGAGAAATTGAAACGACTCGGTTTGCACCCAAGGCTCGTGGCAGAACGAATGATATAAATACACCGAGACGAGACCAGTTGTTAAAATCACTGTTCGACGTCTCCGCGAGTCTTGATTAACGCGATATCTATTTTCGACCGCACGATTTACGGCGACACTCTTCAGAAGTCTCGTCTATCGCCAGACAATATAGAAAAATATCTCGTGTTTCAAGCATTACGTTTAGTTCCGAGCACCTGTAGCGATTCTGAGGCCATTGTCGTGAATCATGTTCGTAGGTCATAGCGCTTGTATCTCTAGAAGACTGAACGATGGAGCTACACAATCGATTGATCTTATTATAACTCGGTTGGGTATCGATATTTCTTCTCCGCGAAAAGGGGAATAGATCTGAGTCACTGTCTCGGTCATGACCTTTCGCTCGATGACTAATTTCTCGGTTGATCTTATGCTAAAAGCACCGCGTATACTTTCGTGAAGCCAACGCGGGGAGGAACAATCGTTGTGAAGGCGGTTTTCATTGTTCCGTCTAGTCATGCACGATGCCGTCATACTCGTCAGAGATGTGTCGGCGAAATGCGTACGAAAGACGAGACTCGACTGTCAGCCGTCCTCCGCTTCGTGACGGAAAAATATTCACCTTTCGCTGGAGAAGAATTAATTGAACACCTGGTTTCTCGACTCGTTTTAACGCTTAATGAAACCCTGCCCGCGCAAACCGCGTCAGGGACCTGTTTCGACTTTCCCAACGATAGAAACAATTAACGATAGACCAGCGGTTGCTCAATTGCCGTTTCATTACGCAAACGCCACCATACTAATAAACGAACAGCATGCAATGTTGCCTGCGGGTAGATAAATGAGTTCTGCAACCAGAATTTTGGTAACATTTGATTCGAATGATAGATCACGATCTATGAAATGACCACGTGACGATGAACCGCGAAATATCTTGTTCCTGATATGTAAAAGCGAGTGCTTGCGCTGTCGATAGAATAAGCGGAGTCTGTTTTTTTTTTTAATATGTTGCTACACGGTTTTTCGTCTCGACACGCGAATCGTCTTAAATTTATCAGCCTCGAAGTGAACTTTCTAACTCGGCCAATTAGGGAGCTGAAAGTCTCTTCAGGTCTTACAATTTGCAATGCTATGAGAATTTCTTGCGATTCTGTATCGATTTCAACCTGTGTGTTTCGCTTTTCATTGTAAAACCGGGTCGTGAATCCGACGAACAATTTTCTCTCCCGCGACTCCGCGATTCGATCGGCTACACTTTCTAGCGTCGTGGGTTTACGCGTAAACGAGTGGTTATATCGCGGTGTTTTTCATCGCTGAAACGGGGTCGCGTACGCTCGTCGGCGGTTCGCGTCATCTCCCGATGACTCAAAGGAAAAAGGGCCTTCGAGGCCTTCTGGTTGTCCGTCACCTTCGCGAGAATTGCCGCGGACAAATTGCGAGCCACTTCAACCTCTTCAGACTTGCTGTATGTGGCAATATAAACGTACACTCCGGAATAAAATGACAGTACAGCTTACATTTGGCACTGTGAATCGAAAAGAATATGTTAACTCATTTGTATCGTGGAGGAAACAAGGTATTAGCACACTTGGATTTAAGTAATTAACTCGAATAAAAATTACAAGAATTAACCGCGTGAAGAGCATTACGCGTGTACGAATAGCTATGATGAAGAAATTACCCATTTCCGAAAACCGGTCGACCTTTTGTCGGCTGCCAGGTTTGGCGCGAAGAAAGACGGGTTTCCACTACATCGCGCCAGATCGTCGACAAACCATTTTTTATTCCATTTTCTAGAGCCAGCCTTCGACCAGCAATAGCGACGCTATCATAGTAAACGCATCTCGTGGATGATAATTTTACCACTTTCTTGCACCGACAAACACCGCAAACTTCTCGACCTTCGAACTCGTCGTTTTCACCGGAAATAAAAAATGTATAACTGGTAAACCATAAATAGAGTCGCGAACTGCGATAGGAAACACGGTAGTTTGCTCAGAAAGTATATCTCGCCAGGTGTGTTTCTAAATTGAAAGTTTACTCGAACAATCGATACTTTTAGTTGGTTAGCTAGGAAATAGTTTATTGATGCGGAAGACCAGATTAGGACCCTTATTTTGCCCTGTTTAACAGTTTAGAACCCCAGATTCCTTATCCTCTCCCATATTTATACCTCCTATATGATACAAAATATCACTCCTTATCCTATTTCACTTCCTATGTATCTTAGTACCTGACTTTACTTTCGTTTAGCTTTGTTTACTTCCTTCATCTATTATCTACGCTATCCAATTGCGTTATTTTCGCATTCTTTCTACCACACACTGTTTCCTCCAACCTTATTTTACTATTCCTTGACCTATTGCACTCGTCGATCCATTAACGGGTTTAAATTTACAAATTATGAAGGATCATTCCGTCTTACATAGAAGATGAAACAAATCCATCCCTGGTTCGAGCGTCATTTCGAATTCGCGATGGCGCGTGGCACGCATTCGATCGCCATCGATGAATTTCCGGTTGCGTCCATTATTGTACTCGCAGTGCATGGCAAAGCGTTGTTCCCCTTATCTCGCGATAAAAGGAAGGCACGAGTCCCGCATTGCGGCTCACGCGACACTTCCGGTCCCTGTTCCTTTTCCTTTCCGCGGGTACTGTTAGCCTGTGAGGTTTCGCGCGAGCACGCATGCATGCACGACGAAACGAAATCATTTACGACTTTCACGCTCGAGAAACAATCGGCGGGATCAGAAACGGTAAAAGCTACCGGGTCGTGGCCGGCGCGATCATGCCAACTTAATTGCACGCGATCGTCCTCCATTATACGAATTAATTAACGTCCAGACCATTTCTTTTTTCGTCGATTTTATCCACTCAAAGAGTAACACCGATCTCAGAATCTCTTTCGTTGAACTGCAAGCCAAGTTCAACCCTTTGACGAGTAAATTTTCTTCGACTATTCGAAGAATACTAAGTAAGAGAAGGTGGAAGGTATATCCCACGATGTTTTAACGAGAGATTTCAGATTATTTTGCCAACGTCAATGAGCACGCAAGAAAAGTGTCGTGTAATTGGCTGAGACCATTATTCTCGCGTAATTGAGGTGGTGCAAATGATCGTTTAAAGACCTTTTTTCTGGAACCAACGATTGCATCCAACCTGAAACACGTTCTTCATTGTCATTACATAATTGGTGACGCGTGCGTATGACAGTGTATTACAGCAATGAATAACTGGGTTTTGCAAGAAAATCAGGATTGACGCAGACGCGTGGGTGCTCTAGGCAAAATTGATGATTCGATATGTAAACCCAGGTGCGAATAATCGCGAGTGGAACGTCAAACAAACGTAATATTTAAGGCCATGGTTCCGGTTCGCTGAATGGTAAAATAAACCATGTTCAGAAACGTGTAATTCTTGAGTAATGCAATTTTTGGAATGGAAAATTGCAATCCGAAGGTATGTTTTTTGGCAACGAGGTCACGTTCTTGAAAGGAATAATTACGTACAATTATGTAGCAAGCGCGTGTTACTCAACGCGGCCGCAACTAAGCAGAGATCTCAATTTTGTACTCTTCTAACACGTTGAATGCCAAGAAGTCAACGACTTGAGTTACAAACTGTGAAGACGACCACGCTTTATACCATACACACTGGGTGTCCGTTAAGAACATTAACTTCGCATTATACTCGACCATTGAGTAACGTGCCATCCGACGAACGATAGGTCTTTCATTTTCCTCCTCGTGGATTCGAACGTACGATCTTCGTTGAATCAGAACTTGTCTGTAAATAGACTTCTGTCCACTACCAACAATATTTCATTCTAAGTCCTCGAAATTTGAAAGTACCTTCGATTCCTAGAAAAAGCAAAT